AATTCAATTTTTTGCCAATTTTTGACAATTTTAATGATGTAACCCCTTATGAAAAATTGAAATTTTCGAAAATTGTGAAAAAAATAGATTTTGGTCGGACACAGCTAGATCGATTCAGCTTTTAATGCTGATCTAGAATATATATGGTTTATAGGGTCGGAAATGACTCCTTCACTGTTTTACAGCCTTCGGACTAAAATTGAAACCCATTCTTTCGGCCTATTTTTAAACCACTATTTTTGCGACCAATCAAAGATTACAAAATTCATAACAAATCCAAAAATGCATTAAATTTGATTCGGAAAGCTGTCCTGTATTAGTTTCTATTGGGGTAACAAACCTGCATATTTAATTTAGCATTTTTAAAAACCTTGTGGCTAAAATTATAAACCATTCTTTGAGCCAATATCTATTTATATTTTTATAGCACAATTTATGCGACTAATCAAATGTTAAAAAATTCATAACAAAGCCAAAAATGCATTAAATTCAAATCGGAAAGCTGTCCTGCGTTAGTTTTTATTAGGATAATAAACCTGCATACCCAGTTTAACATTTTAAAATTCAATTTTTTGCCAATTTTTGACAATTTTAATGATGTAACCCCTTATGAAAAATTGAAATTTTCGAAAATTGTGAAAAAAATAGATTTTGGTCGGACACAGCTAGATCGATTCAGCTTTTAATGCTGATCTAGAATATATATGGTTTATAGGGTCGGAAATGACTCCTTCACTGTTTTACAGCCTTCGGACTAAAATTGAAACCCATTCTTTCGGCCTATTTTTAAACCACTATTTTTGCGACCAATCAAAGATTACAAAATTCATAACAAATCCAAAAATGCATTAAATTTGATTCGGAAAGCTGTCCTGTATTAGTTTCTATTGGGGTAACAAACCTGCATACTTTATTTAGCATTTTAAACAACCTTGTGGCTAAAATTATAAACCATTCTTTGAGCCAATATCTATTTATATTTTTATAGCACAATTTATGCGAATAATCAAATGTTAAAAAATTCATAACAAAGCCAAAAATGCATTAAATTCAAATCGGAAAGCTGTCCTGCGTTAGTTTTATTAGGATAATAAACTTGCATACCCAGTTTAACATTTTAAAAAATTCAATTTTTTGCCAATTTTTGACAATTTTAATGATGTAACCCCTTATGAAAAATTGAAATTTTCGAAAATTGTGAAAAAAATAGATTTTGGTCGGACACAGCTAGATCGATTCAGCTTTTAATGCTGATCTAGAATATATATGGTTTATAGGGTCGGAAATGACTCCTTCACTGTTTTACAGCCTTCGGACTAAAATTGAAACCCATTCTTTCGGCCTATTTTTAAACCACTATTTTTGCGACCAATCAAAGATTACAAAATTCATAACAAATCCAAAAATGCATTAAATTTGATTCGGAAAGCTGTCCTGTATTAGTTTCTATTGGGGTAACAAACCTGCATACTTTATTTAGCATTTTAAACAACCTTGTGGCTAAAATTATAATCCATTCTTTGAGCCAATATCTATTTATATTTTTATAGCACAATTTATGCGAATAATCAAATGGTTAAAAATTCATAACAAAGCCAAAAATGCATTAAATTTGATTCGGAAAGCTGTCCTGCGTTAGTTTTTATTAGGATAATAAACCTGCATACCCAGTTTAACATTTTAAAAAATTCAATTTTTTGCCAATTTTTGACAATTTTAATGATGTAACCCCTTATGAAAAATTGAAATTTTCGAAAATTGTGAAAAAACTAGATTTTGGTCGGACACAGCTAGATCGATTCAGCTTTTAATGCTGATCTAGAATATATATGGTTTATAGGGTCGGAAATGACTCCTTCACTGTTTTACAGCCTTCGGACTAAAATTGAAACCCATTCTTTCGGCCTATTTTTAAACCACTATTTTTGCGACCAATCAAAGATTAAAAAATTCATAACAAATCCAAAAATGCATTAAATTTGATTCGGAAAGCTGTCCTGTATTAGTTTCTATTGGGGTAACAAACCTGCATATTTAATTTAGCATTTTTAAAAACCTTGTGGCTAAAATTATAAACCATTCTTTGAGCCAATATCTATTTATATTTTTATAGCACAATTTATGCGAATAATCAAATGTTAAAAAATTCATAACAAAGCCAAAAATGGATTAAATTCAAATCGGAAAGCTGTCCTGCGTTAGTTTTTATTAGGATAATAAACCTGCATACCCAGTTTAACATTTTAAAAAATTCAATTTTTTGCCAATTTTTGACAATTTTAATGATGTAACCCCTTATGAAAAATTGAAATTTTCGAAAATTGTGAAAAAACTAGATTTTGGTCGGACACAGCTAGATCGATTCAGCTTTTAATGCTGATCTAGAATATATATGGTTTATAGGGTCGGAAATGACTCCTTCACTGTTTTACAGCCTTCGGACTAAAATTGAAACCCATTCTTTCGGCCTATTTTTAAACCACTATTTTTGCGACCAATCAAAGATTAAAAAATTCATAACAAATCCAAAAATGCATTAAATTTGATTCGGAAAGCTGTCCTGTATTAGTTTCTATTGGGGTAACAAACCTGCATACTTTATTTTGCATTTTAAACAACCTTGTGGCTAAAATTACAATCCATTCTTTGAGCCAATATCTATTTTTAATTTTAAGCCACTATTTTTGAAACCAATCATATATTAATCAATATATAACAATGCCAAAAATGCATTAATTTTAGTTCGGTAAGCTTTCCTATGTGCGTTTTTAACAGGTAAACTAACCTGCATTAGTTTTAAATTTGAAAATATAATGGCATTCTTTGAGCAGGTATTAATCTATATTTTTATATGACAATTTTTTTCTTCAAATCAAAAACTAAAAAAAGCATAACTAACAAAAACTATGTCCAATTCCAATTATATTTTAGTTTCGTTCAATTAGATTATATGTATACTTAGTGAATATTCTTTGATTGTTTTAAAACATATTCTAATATATTCTTGCTTTTTCATATAAATTACAGGAATCTTTTAGCTGTAGCAATAGCTTCGGATTGATTACAATAATCTCCCAATGGATCTATAAATCGTGGAAAGGTACATTCATTTAATGAGTTACTACTCCTTATTGATATTTAATTGTAATGATATGTGATCATTGCCAGTTAATAGTTTGATGCGACTGCTGGCTAGACGGCAAATGTCGTGTGTCTGCGGTGGATTCTACCTTTGCAGGACATCCAGCACAAGCACTACTCATCTGAATGCGCCCTGACCATATGTTAGGACCCAAACCGAAGGTGGCTCGGTGCAACATATGGTCACTAGACACGAGCCACAATGCAGTTCTCGGTCGGCGAGTTAATTGATGGCCCAAACCGGCCAGTACAGTAGCTCATCTTCGCAACCCTGCTGCTCCTATCCCTCTCTATTACTGCGTGTATGCATGGCATTTCGTGAATTTAAGCATATATGATATCGAAAAAAATTTTAGTTTATGCGGAAGGGGAAAAATATGGCTTGGAAATGTTGACTTTTTCGTCTTTCATTAAGCTTTAGTGTTTTGGAAAACGTATTTGTATTATTTATTTATTGTTTATCATCTTTATTTAATTTAAACACGAATTAGGCTTCGCATAAACACAGTATCTTTCTCCCTCTAGCTCGTGTGCTGTTGAGCGTGAAAGTCACAAATTACAAAAAAACAAGAAAGGAAGCTAACTTCGGCACGCCGAAGTTTATATACCCTTGCAGATAGAACTTCTATGAATAAAAAACCATACAATACAAATTATATATCTTTGTGTTAAAAAACAATGAAGTAATACCTGCTTTCATTTCATTCACCTATACATATTATATTTACAGTTTTACATTCACTGATTTGCATTTTTCCTCCACATCAAACGATCGTTTGTATGGCACCTATATGATATAGTCGTCCGATTTTCATGAGATTTACCACAAAATTTAAGACTTAAATTAAATGCCTATACCTAAAATTTGATGAAAATCAGTTGAAAACTGAAAAGGTTATAAATTTAATTGTATTAATTTATCGATCGTTCCTATGGGAGCTATATGATATAGTAGTCCGATTTTCATAAAATTTTATGCAAAATTGTAGAGTATAGTAAAATGGCTATATCTCAAATTTGATCCAATTCTATTGAAAACTGAAAAAGTTAAAAATTTTTTTGTAAAAATTTTCCGATCATTCCTATGGCAGCTATATGATATAGTCGTCCGATCCGGCCCGTTCCGACATATATACGAGTGAGAGTATATAGAAGGCTAACTACAAAGTTTCATTCAGATAGCTTCAAAACTGAGAGACTAGTTTGCGTAGAAACGGACAGACGGACAGACGGACAGACGGACAGACGGACAGAAGGACAGACGGACAGACGGACAGACGGACAGACGGACATGGCTAGATCGACTCGGCTGTTGATCCTGATCAAGAATATATATACTTTATATAGTCGGAGGTGCCTCCTTCACTGCGTTGCAAACTTCTGACTGAAATTATAATACCCTGCAAGGGTATAAAAAGGAAGAGAAGCGAGGAGTAGGAGAGGAGGCAAGGAGATCACAGGCATGATAGCACCAATTTGGCAAGCTATGACGCGTGGCCCATGCGCAGTACGAGCCAGAGCGGGACATCTGATAAAGTGAGAACACCATGCGAGTGTAGGCGTGCGCAAACGAAAGAACGAGACAGAGAAAGAGAGAACGAGAGAGTCGACTTCTAACCCCTAAGCGTGTGGCAGGGGGTTAAAGTAACCCCTCCACGCGAGTAGATCCTTCGGTTGGGATATGGTAATAACAGCAAGGATCCCTCCCGATCCCGGGGTCATTTGCGGGCCGCTTACACAAACTTGGTCAGCGGATGGCGGCGGTGAAAATATTTGGAGAACGCATCCGCGGGGGTTGAGTACCGACGTCTTGGATCCGATCAGCACTCAGTTGCATCGAAACTTCAGAGCCGCGCGGTTCATCTGCCATGAGCTACTACTACTCCTCTGCGTCCGAGGAGGACTGCAGCTCCCAGTACCTGGGCAGTCCCAACTACAACCTGACTGGGATTCCCGCTGCCACGCAGGATTACGCCCAGACGGCCTACCTATCGCCCGAATGGCAATTCCTGGATGGCTCGGCCGCTGGAGTCGAACTGGCCACCATCTCCTCTGCCTCTTCGATGGAAATTGCATTGCAGTCGGAACTGGGTGCACTGGAAGCACACACTGGCAGACGTCACCAGGATAAGTCTGGAGAGTCGGATGACCAGAAAAGCAGTCCCGGCAACCAGCAGACCAACCTCAGTCCCACAGTCCAGAAGCGGCGACGTCAGGCAGCCAATGCCCGGGAAAGAAAACGCATGAACGGGTTGAACGAGGCCTTCGATCGCCTGAGGGAAGTGGTGCCCGCTCCATCCATTGACCAGAAGTTATCCAAGTTCGAGACCCTACAAATGGCCCAGTCCTATATCCTGGCCCTGTGTGACCTCCTCAACAACGGTGAAGTGGAGGTGGATGCGGCGGCCTACTCTATCTTTGGCAGCGGCAGCGAGAGTAGCTTTGGAATTGGCGGAGGGTCCTCTTCGTAATTAGATACTCTAGTTCTCTTTCTGTATTTAGCACTAAGCTTTGTGATTTTCATCTTACTGTAGAATAGTCTAAAGATAAAAGGAAATAAATAAAACAATATGAATGAAAAATATTTAAAATTAAAACAAGAAGTTTACGATTATATACCAGGGGACAGAGGGCCTAAATCGACACGGCTGTTGATGCTGATAGAGAATTGATATTGTTTTTATGGTTGCAAATGACATCTTTAATGCGTTGCTACAAGGATATAATAATGATAATTAATGGTTAAACAATTCGAATTCAATTTGCTAGTGTATGTAGGGATTTATTGATTTAGGGATTTAGGGATTAATATTATTTCAAAGCATATATAGATTTTTTAAGTATCATGACTTAGCCTAAAATGCATTAATTTCAATTGGAATAGCTTTTCTATGCTAGTTTTTATACGGTGAACAAATCTGCATATTAAGTTTTAAAATTTAAAAAATGAAATTTTCAATATTTTGAAAAAATTAATTAAAGCCAGACATAGCTAGATCGACTTAGCTGCTGATGCTGATCAAGAATATAAATAATTATAGGGTTGAAAACGACACCTTCACTGCGTTTTAAGCTTCTGACTGAAATTGTAATGCCCTGCAAGAGTACATTTATAGAGATCACATCTTTCCACATGGAATTCCCAGATTCAATTGACCATCAGTTTGTTGGCTATGCCTCAATGGCTCCAAAAACGATCGTAAATTAATTACTAAAAAGTTCATTGATAGGGGAATGCAAGTTTTGGGCTAACCCCGAAACCGTTTTTCAAATTTTCCCGCCACCAAGCGGAGCGGCGATGCATGACGCCCCTGGAGTCCTGGCTCAGAAGACCTTCTTGTCTCATTGAATAAAAGGCAGCTGAGTCCAGCGCTTCGGTTGGGCACTATTCTTTATATGATTCAATGGCCGTGGCCAGGGAAGTATGTGTGAAAACATAACAACTATGGACTGATCACAGAAGTGCATTTCGCTTGGGCTTCGTAGGCGGCTTGGGAGGCGGTGGCTTAGTTGGATGCGGCGTAGGATTTACATCGGTGCCACTGTTTCGGACCGTGATCCGTTGCACATCCACTGCGTCCGTGCGGAAAGAGTTTATTGAGGACCGGAAACCAGAGATGGGAGGAAGCAAGACGATTACTTCCTCCTTGTCTTTAGCCAAACTCAAGTTCTGAATGGAATTGCGATTCGTAGGCAGGACGATGGGGTTCTCAGTATGAATTTCAGCATTTCCTTTGTCGGATGGCCGGTCAACGGAATGGCACCGCGATGTTGGCCCAACTAAAGCTGTCGTCAGCATTGTTTGAGGGGAAACAATCGACTGGGTGCTCCGCCTGAGTCCAGAACTGCCTGCTATAATGGTTTGCTGAAGGTAATCCTTGACGATGCCCATCGTGGTTTCTGTCATGCCGGGTGGTATTGCAAAGGAACTTATCGCAGAGATCTCCCTAATCGGATGGAATGGCGGCGATGGTAATACTGAATCGGACGCTGGGTTGACCCAGGACACGTTCTGGAAGCCGGAGAACTGCCGTTGGCAGTGCAACTGCTTCCCAGACCCCTGTCCTGGGTCATCCCGGCGCGTATCCCATCGTGCAATTGGCTCCTTTGGCACGACAATAAGATACTGCTGGCTGTTATCGTCGTCCTGTAATTTGCAAATAAAATATGAGGCCGAGTTTAAGTCATTGAGCAACTTGCTGTTGACAGCTGCACTTGTGTCCGTGGTCCTTCTGGCTCCGCCCTGGGCAATACGTCTTCCATTCGAAGAGGAGGTAGTTCGTTTCTTGGCCGTCTCACCAGGCTGTATCTTCGGAGGACCTGAGTTGCGAGTGGGGCTGGCGGCTGCGGATTTAAGCTTTAAGGACCTGACGTTCTTCGAGGGACCGGCGGATCCCGGTCTAGGTTTTTTTTTCTTGCAAGGAAGCGAAACATTACATTCTGGTACCTGCACTAATTTCGTTTCCCCGGAGAAAGGCAAGTCGATGTTCAATTTATAGGCTCCTTGCCATTGATTGTTGGCTGTGTCAAGTTTGAGAGCCTCAATTCCAACTTTATCATCGAAAGGACTTCCATTTCCGGCTGGATTTCGTTTGCTGGACTGAGTTAGCTGTGGTTCAAAAGGTGGTCCGCAGTGGCAAGCACAAATTTCTTCAACCCGATCACACTTTGCTTTCAGCGTTGCGTTATCTTCAGGGCATTTGCATTCGCAATCACAAAATTCGAATTGATTTTCTTCTGATAAGACGTCTTTCGTAGCGTCATTTTGGGCGCACTTATTTTGGCTGGTGTCGAGAGTTTTTCTGCAAGTCCTTTTTTCGGGCCTAGAACATCGCGTACTTTCAATCTTTTGTTCCCTTTGATCGTTTCTACACCGAGGTCCCGGGCAGCATGGAGGAGGCTTCCTATCACACCTATGTTTTTTTTCATCGTAACTACAAAAACAGTCATAATCTGAATCGTATACATCGGTTCCCTTTGACTTATACTCTTGCTTCCTTGGAGACTGTTTGTTATCATAACGCTTGGGAATGTTGCTTTGACAGTCGCATTCCGATTCGTATACATCGGTTTTCTTTGATTGACGACATGGAGAGTTTGTTTTATTCGTAGGCCGTTTGCATCCCAGTTCCTTGTACTTCTGTGCGTTCCTAGGAGATTCACACCTTCTTCCACAACAACCGGATCTATCAATTTTCCTGTTATACTCATCGCTATCGCTACTGCAAGCGCAGCCATCCAGAAAATCATTCAAATTTTTCTTGCACCTCTTGGCACAACATTCTTCACAACAGTCATAATCATCGTCTATATCGGCATATCCCCTCTGAGATCTTGCATTATTTTTATAAGACTCATTCCTGTCGGTTCTTCTAGGACGGCATTTTGAGTTTTCTTTAGGTCCATCATCGCAGCACCGATTGCATATTCGACATCTTCCCTGGTCATAATTATTATCATCTGACGAACATTCGCAATCGTTGGCATCCATTGGACCAGTCTTTTTCTTCGGTCTCTGAAGAGAAGAGCAACCCTTCTTGGGTCTATCGCAATCTGTATTATCGTCCCTAGGTCGTGGACACTTTCTTGACGCAGATTGATTTCTACAGATATTCTTCAACTCCCTTTCGTCAAAGCATTTTCTTGACTTTCTTTTTGGAGACGCACAAGGGTCCCTGCAAGGTGGTCTTCTCGACGAATAGGGACACGTGTTATCAGTGCAACAAGCCGGACAAACTTCGATTTTTCCCTTTCCTTGATCTTGTCTATTTTTAGGTCTTAAACAACATGTATCGTCCTTGTCATCACATGGTCTTGTTGGCCTATTATCCCTATTTCTGCTATTTCTGCGGTGGGGACAGGGTATCCTCTCGTTGTCGGATTCGCATTCGCATTCGATCTCTTCTGGAGGAGGTCTACATCGATTCCTGGTAGTTGGTTTTCTGTCATCTTCGTAGTCACATTTTCTAGGCGGCGGTCTTGTCTTCCCTGCGATTCTGTCTTCGCGGTCATACCAACATCGGTCCGCTGGCATGCAATAATCCCTTGGAACCCGGCGACAAGGCGGATACGGCGGACACGGCGTACACGAACACGGCACACATTGCGAATCATCCGTGGGCAGTGTGCACGCTTTAGGCTCTTGGGCACCATTGCAGTTCTTTGTTGGTAGTTTCAATGGCTGGCAGTCCGGGTTTTTGCAATCCACATAATCGTTTCGCTTTGGCTTCTTTCGACCCTCGGGACTGGGTTTTCTTGGGCAAGTGGTCTGGTCCAATCTCCGTGGACAATCAATGTCAGGGTTTCTTCTGGTCGGTGCCTCGGAACAATCATCGCAATCATCAGGCCTACGTCGCCTTAAAGTGGGGCACTTATCATAGTTACAGTCAGTATTACACACATCTCTCTCTGCCATGGATTGTTTCCTTCCACCAGGGAACTCTTCATAATTTCTCTCTGGACCATTATTGCGACATCCCCTGCGATTTGGACTCTCATCATAACATCCGCGACTTCTAGAAGTATGGTCCATTTGGTCATAGCTTCTCGCTCTGGTGACATAATCCATCCTATCAACTTTCCTGCTCACTCGCTGTCTCTGATCTATATCTTGATCGCAGTCATTTAACCGTCTCCTTTGAGTGTCCAGCTCGTCGTCAGTGTATCTACCTTGATTTTGGTTACTTCTTCGGGTTGGATTATTCCTAGGGAGATCATCTGATTGCCATTGGCGATCTCTTTTACTGACACAACAACATCGAGGATCATCATCTTCCTGCTGTACGTTCCCTCCTATTATTGGCGCCTGCTCGGTATACCTGCTGGTGTCAACTGAGTACCTATTGTCCAGCTCCGGGGTTCTTGAAGCAGCACAGGGTGCCTGACAGACCTGAACATCTTGCTGAGGCGGAAGGCACGTTAAAGGTCTCTGTACTGGCACTGGAGCTGGGGTCTGTAGTTGTCCGCAAGGGTTCTCCGCACCACAATTGAACATGTTCGACTGATCCGGAATCGAAGTTCGTCCGTAATCAAACAGCGGATGAAGGGGAACATAATTCGAATTACCGTACTGCTGCTTAGAGCACAGGTTCGTGGGCTGCTGCGAGTTTATGGTGCTCTGGGTGCACTGCTGCTGCGATTGGTAGTAGTTTTGCTTGCCGGATGGCATTTGGTAGTACATGCTGTTCGAATACATTTGCTGGCCCTGCGGATCATTGTTGTAACGTTGTTGCACTTGCTGGTTACTCATGTAAGTATTGGATTCCGGCATTTGTTGGTTGTCGCAGTAGTTTCCTGTATCCAGCCCCTGCTGATTATACCGCCCGTAATCCAAATCCTGCTGATTGTTGTTAGTGCAGGGTGAACCACAGCCCGATTGGTAGTTAGTAATCTGCGGAATTCCATTCTGTGAGCATGCATGCATCTGGTCCTCGCCCGACTGCCGGCGTTCACTGCAGCAGTATGATGTGTTCCGGGTTTCCTGCCCCGCGCACTGACTCTGTATAAGTTCTTGTGACTCGCAGCAGCGTGATGGGGGCGTTACCACCTGAACAGTCAGGCAGTCATGTGAATCGCAGCAACATGAGTTCTGCCGGGCCATCTGAACCCTAAGGCGATCAGTTGAATTGCAGCATCCTGGTGAGTTCCGAGCTTCCTGCGCATCCAACTGAGCCCTTAGACGGCGGCATACGGCTTTGTTGTTCCGCCTCCAGTTGGTGACGCAGCAAGATTTGTCTCTGCCAGTGTTGGTAGGGTGGCACTTGGGAACATAAAAGGGGCGGGGTTGGCAGCAAAGCTTGGGGCCTGGTTCCGCATACCGGCACCTGCCTCTATTGTTTACAATTGGTCGACAGCAACATAGAGAAGACTGAGAGTGTTCGCACATCGACGAACATGAACAGCACTTGTGACCATACACACTAATCGCCCTGCGAGCACAACAATGCTCCAATGAACTTTCACTGTCTGAGTCGGTACATGGGCATCTCGGCATGCAACCGGGCTTTTTTCTCTTACACGGCACACAATAAGCCGTGGGATACCATCTGTTATTGTCGTTGCCGGAGGCTGTTCTGCTTTTTTCAATATCCTCTCCTTTTTCCATTTCTGGAGGCGTTGATGGCTTTTCTGGTTCCAGAATCAGCTTATAAAAAGTGTAATCGGGCTTGGAATCACTAGATCGTTTGCACAAGGAAGCTGGTAGTGATTAGAGGATTATATTATGTCAAGAGGTGGTGTTTGGAGAGAATAAGAGTCACCTGTGCCCTGAGAAAAAGTGGCCTCTGAAAAGTTTTGCGGGTATTTACTTAGGGCACAGTCCTTCCGGATAAGGGAATCCTCCAGTATACCGTTCAATTGACTCAAGCAGAAACTGGCCTTTGACTATGTTTTAAAAGCGAGTCGTAAGATACTTTTCAGATTGGTTAGTCTGCTGTCACTCACCTCCTCTGTCTCCTCGGATAAAACTTTACCCAAGAAGAGCAGATCATTAAAGTAGGAGTGTCGCGGCTCATAGCTATATCCCTCCTGTTTGCTTTGTCGGATGGCGGCACACTCTGCATCGTAGTAGCTCCGCAGGGCTAACACCTGGAGCTTCACCTGGTCCGGGGTTAGGCCACTGTTCATTCCCCGCGTGATCTTCCGCCAGGCATCCTCCTGCGCAGTCCCGTTTAGGTATCCAGGAGAATGGGGATTCCATAGACACTCGCAGGAGCGATATAGACCGATGAGCTTCTGGGTTAGACTCTCGTTTGACGCCATTTTGCCGCACAGTCCCTCGCACTCGTTCCAAACCGGTCGGTGATCAATCTACCATAGTGTAATCTCTTCTATACGGAACAATTTAGGTTTTCAAGTGGTGTGTGTGCGAAATATAGACTATTCAAACATTTAAAGACCCCAACCCAAAAATGTATGACAGCAAATGCAAATCGATATTTTAATTGCCTTAAATATCAATCCATCTTCTTAATGTATTAGTCTTTATTTTAATATATGTAAAACTAGTTAAATCTGTGATAAAATAATATTAATAACAGCTAAATAATAATTCTCAAACTTGAAATGTTTAATCTATGCTAATTTGGAATGCTTTTAATAACTACTATATATGGTACATATTTTAAATTCTTGAGGGTATTATAATTGCAGTGAGATTGTCATTTCCGACCCTATAATCCATATAAATTATTGATCAGCATCAACAGGTGAATCTTTCTAGACATGTAGGAATGAACAAAATAATTGACTTTTAAAAAATTTTCAAATTTCAAAAAAAAAATACAACAATTTTAATATGCAGATTTATTATCCTATTACAAATATGCACAGAACAGCTTTCCGAATATGCATTTTTAATGCATTTTTGGTTTAGTTATAAGTTTTTCAAACATATCAACACAATATCGTTACATAGGTTTAAACTTTCCGCCATTTTAGGTGAAAAATTAAGGGTACTAAAGAGTCGACCACTGCGTATAACAATTTTATAGTATATTGGTTTGGTATTTTTTGGGACTCCGGCGGTCATTGCGGTATGTTTTTCCGAGCCCTCGTGGCATTTAGCGTTGCAACAATCGCGGTCACACTGGCCACACGGGGCAGAATTAGGCGAAAATAGGCAAATAAAATTTCGAGTGACTAAAATTCGGTTCCTTTGTCGCATGCGAGTGCATTTAACGGCTGCATTAATCATTCCGGGCTTATGTAAACTAACGGGCATCCAGTACCAAAATTTCCGGCCCTCAGCACCTAAGGGGCGAGACGTGTGTCTGGTATAACCACAAATTTTCTTTTTTTCACTGCTGCGCCTCTCCTCTTAGCCGCCCCAAATTTTCGCGAGTGCGACGACGGTATCGGAACTGAAATCGGGAAGCAAGAATTAGGGAAACGAGTAACCCAAAATAATACCAATAAGGCAAAACGGACTCCCGCAATCTGAATAGTGACCCCAATTCGCATCCGTATCAGTTTTTTGTGACCGCGCCGTTCGAAAGAAACCCTGTGCAGTGAGTGATTCGCTCGTTAAATGACCGGAGCGACCCAGGCGAGGATTATCCACGTAAACAGCTGCCTGAGTAGAGGTCGCGCCTAGAGCCTTTTCGATTCGATCTGAGCCAATAAAGAGAGCCAGAGCTGTGAAAATGTCCGCGGAACGTGAGATTCCCGCCGAGGACAGCATTAAGGTGGTCTGCCGTTTTCGACCGCTGAATGACAGCGAAGAGAAGGCCGGCTCCAAGTTCGTGGTCAAGTTCCCCAACAATGTAGAGGAGAACTGCATATCCATTGCGGTAAATAGAAGTCTAGTTCATTATTCGGTATCCCTTTGATGTCCGCCCCCCCATTCCCCCAGCTCGAGTGCCGCCACTATGTTATGCATTAATCTCTGCGTGCCGTGCCATGACGTCATGCCTATTAGCGAACATTACCCTTCCCCAATTCGCTGAGCAAATGGAACGCCAGCAACAGAAAGAGAGAGGCCCTCGTCACTACTACTATTCGCAATTGGCTGTGGAGCCCCGAAAAAAATAAAGTAAAGCGAAAAATAGTTGGGAAATATTCACAAAAACCGCTCCAAATCAATAGCACTTTGCATGAAATTGATTTTCCCCGGGCTCGCCCGGAATGGGGGTGTGTGTTGGCGGTAAAAGAAGAGAAATACCACCCACAAGACATGCTCGAAAGCTGGCCGTTCTTTGGGGGCCGCATAAAAATGCGCTTTTCTAGAGTTTCCAGTCCGCCTTCGGTCGGGCGCTTACCTCACTTACAGTACACAGAAAAACACGGCAAAACACCAACACACACACCAAAGCACACACGCTTAGAGCGTTTCCCCGCCTGCCATCCCCATCCCGCTCCGTGCCACAGTGAGTCATGCACACGCAAAGCATATAAAAGAAGGCAAGAAAGACAGAAAACAATAAGAGCAACATTGAAGGCAACGGCATTCCGCTGGCCATATTAATGCTTTTTGGCGCTCTTCTTCGACATGCAGACCATATTTCATAACCGAGTTTTCCGCTAAACGGCGGCAGCAGGTGTAATTCATCATTTTCCTGGAAGCAAACTTAAGCAATTGAACCAGTTCCAAAAAAGAAAGAAGAAACAGTGGGACAGTACTAGTAGATGAGACCTCTCCATACATACATATGCATTATCATTACTCGCACTTCTCGCGCTCTCCACTCGCCTCTCTTTCTCCACCGCCTTCTTCTGCTTTGGCCGCTCGTTATTCACTATTCTTCCCCCCGCCATCGCCATCCACATTTCTTGATGCTCATAATTACAATCTGTTTCGCGGCCATGCGTTGAAAATGATTTGAAAGCCAGTCAGTCAGTCGGCGGGAAAGGCAGTGAGCTGGGCAGGGGGGAGGAGGAATCTCCGAAAGAAATTTCACCGCAACCATACACCGGGAAAAACTACAGCTCAATTCTTCCATATACCCGCAGGGCAAGGTCTATCTGTTCGACAAGGTCTTCAAGCCGAACGCATCCCAGGAAAAGGTCTACAATGAGGCGGCCAAGTCGATTGTCACCGATGTCCTGGCAGGATACAACGGGACGATATTCGCCTATGGCCAGACATCGTCCGGCAAGACGCACACGATGGAAGGCGTGATCGGGGATTCAGTGAAGCAGGGTATCATACCGCGCATCGTCAATGACATCTTCAACCACATTTACGCTATGGAAGTGAACCTGGAGTTCCACATCAAGGTCTCCTACTATGAGATCTATATGGACAAGATCCGTGATCTGCTGGACGTCTCCAAGGTGAACCTCAGCGTACACGAGGACAAGAATCGGGTGCCCTATGTCAAGGGCGCCACGGAGCGGTTCGTCTCATCGCCGGAGGATGTCTTCGAGGTGATCGAGGAGGGAAAATCCAATCGTCACATCGCAGTAACCAGTGAGTTTGATATCTATCAACTTGTTAAGTCAAAGTATAGTAAACCCAGGCAGTCAGCGGATACCCGAAGGACATCATAGTATCCGTATAGCCAGTGTTTTGTTTATGTAAACCATTGCATTATAATAACTAGTTTTTAGTTTTTCCAGTGTACAGTTCAGCTTGACAATGATACAATATTATAATTAGCTTGTTACCAGCTTGGTTTCAATTAAGCGGCCATTGTCACGCCCTACTTTTTGTTTGGGAAAAACTTTTAACTATTTTAAACTTTTTCTTAGTTATATAGTTTTTAGAAAGCTTTTTGTCTGTGCTTACTTGACTTTTTTCCTTTAATTCCCATATTCTCATTAGTATGATTGTTTTATCTTCTAAGGAACGCAAACTAAATCTTTTAAATTACCTTCCTTCCAGACATGAACGAGCACTCTTCACGATCACACTCAGTATTCCTTATTAACGTCAAACAGGAGAATCTGGAGAACCAAAAGAAGCTATCCGGTAAACTCTACCTGGTCGATTTGGCGGGTTCCGAAAAGGTTTCCAAGACAGGCGCCGAGGGCACGGTCCTCGATGAAGCCAAGAATATTAACAAGTCGCTGTCGGCGCTGGGCAATGTAATATCTGCGCTGGCGGACGGCAATAAATCGCACATCCCCTATCGCGACTCCAAGCTCACGCGCATCCTGCAGGAGTCGCTGGGAGGCAACGCACGCACAACCATCGTCATCTGCTGCTCACCGGCCAGCTTCAACGAATCTGAGACCAAGTCCACCCTGGATTTCGGCCGACGAGCCAAGACCGTCAAGAATGTGGTCTGTGTAAACGAGGAGCTCACTGCCGAGGAATGGAAGCGTCGTTACGAGAAGGAGAAGGAGAAGAACGGCCGGCTAAAGGGAAAGGTGGAGAAGCTGGAGATCGAGCTGGCGCGGTGGAGAGCCGGCGAGACCGTCAAGGCGGAGGAGCAAATCAACATGGAGGATCTCATGGAGGCCAGCACGCCCAATCTCGATGTGGAGGCTGCTGCTGCGGCAGCGGAAGCGGCGAAAGCCGCCCAGCGAACTGCTCTCGCCAACATGTCCGCATCGGTGGCTGCGAACGAACAGGCCAGGCTGGCCTCGGAGTGCGAGCGACTCTACCAGCAGCTGGACGACAAAGACGAGGAGATCAACCAGCAAAGCCAGTACGCAGAGCAGCTCAAGGAGCAGGTGATGGAGCAGGAGGAGCTAATAGCCAATGCCCGACGGGAGTACGAGGCCTTGCAAACCGAAATGGCACGAAGCCAGCAGGAGAACGAGTCGGCAAAGGAGGAGGTCAAGGAGGTGCTCCAAGCTCTCGAAGAGCTGGCTGTTAACTACGACCAGAAGTCTCAGGAGATCGAAAACAAGAACAAGGACATCGATGCACTCAATGAGGAGTTGCAACAGAAGGCGACAGCGCTAAATGCCACCGGAACGGAACTGCAGCAGCTGAAGGACATGACCTCACACCAAAAGAAGCGTCTCTCCGAAATGCTGGCCAACCTGCTGCGGGAACTGGGCGATGTGGGCCAGGCTCTCGCTTCTGGCGAATCAGCTATCGACCTCAAGATGAGTGCTCTCGCTGGCACAGATGCAAGCAAGATGGAGGAGGACTTTACCATGGCTCGTCTGTACATCAGCAAAATGAAGACGGAGGCGAAGAACATTGCCCAGCGTTGCACCAACATGGAAGCCCAGCACTTGGATTCCAACAAGAAGATCTCGGAGTACGAGAAAGAGCTGGGCGAGTTGCGTCTACTCATTTCACAGCACGAGGCACGCATGAAGTCGTTGCAGGAGTCGATGCGCGAAGCGGAGAACAAGAAGCGCACCCTCGAGGAGCAAATCGACTCGCTGCGGGAGGAGTGCGCCAAGCTCAAGGCCGCCGAGCACGTTTCCGCCGTTAATGCTGAGGAGAAGCAGCGGGCGGTGGAGTTGCGTACGATGTTCGACTCACAGATGGACGAGTTACGAGAGGCCCATACCCGTCAGGTGTCCGAGCTGCGCGACGAGAACGCCGCCAGGCAGCATGAGTTGGATGAGATGAAGGATGTCCACCAGAAGCTGCTCTTGGCCCACCAACAGATGACCGTCGACTACGAAAAGCTGCGCCACGAGGAGGCCGAGAAGTCCAACGAGTTACAGACCATCATTCTCACCACCGAGCGACGCGAACAGGCACGCAAGGACCTCAAGGGCCTGGAGGACACTGTGGCCAAGGAGTTGCAGACGCTACACAACCTGCGCAAGCTCTTCGTCCAGGATCTCCAGGTAATTAACAGATATACCTTCCCATAGTATTTTATACTTATCTATTCTCCTTTCAGCAACGCATTCGCAAGAACGTGGTGAACGAGGAGAGCGAGGAGGACGGTGGATCCCTTGCACAAAAACAAAAGATTTCCTTCCTGGAGAACAATCTCGACCAGCTGACCAAGGTGCACAAGCAGTTGGTGCGGGATAACGCCGACCTGCGCTGCGAGCTGCCCAAGCTGGAGAAGCGCCTGCGCACGACAATGGAACGCGTGAAGGCTCTAGAGACGGCACTGAAGGAGGCGAAGGAGGGCGCAATGCGAGACCGCAAGCGCTACCAGTACGAGGTGGATCGCATCAAGGAGGCGGTGCGACAGAAGCATCTGGGCCGAAGAGGGCCCCAGGCACAGATCGCCAAACCGATCCGCTCCGGGCAGGGCGCCATAGCCATCCGTGGCGGAGGAGCCGTGGGCGGCGGAGCAGCGCCGCAGGCTAACATTGTCAACTCGTAAAACAGATCGCCCCGCCACCCGTCGCCGCCCAGTTCAGCTCCGCTTTAAACTAAACTATGTGGATTACGTTATACATACATACTTAAAATAACTGATAATTGCCTTCGCTTAGAGATTTCGTGTCGCGATCGTGTGCAGCGCTTTAAATAAACATACATATTTTATATTATTTAATTAAATGAATGCGTGGAACCGGAAATTAATTAAATTTTACAAAACGAAAATAATAAAACCCACAGATATGTAAGGACATCTATGTACGTTAAGAGTATTTATAAACTTTTCAAACATAAACCTAAATAAAAGTCGCAGACAAATTAAGGTCTCTTCGGTTTTGATTCTATTTCCAGTCAAAAAAAATTTTTAACTACTTGGTATTGCATCCGTCAGATCCTACTCCGGCCACAGTCGCATGTTGTAGCCAATTCCGCAAATGTTTTGGTGCTCCCAGTCTTCGGGAGAGTTCACCACCTGCCACTCGTACCACACTTTGGTAGCGTCCACACAGCGCCAGTACTTGATGGATATAGACTGGCCCTCCTTCAGAGTTCGCGCACGCTGAAGAAAAGCAATATAATCAAATTCAATTTTCAGAGATCAGATATCTACTCACCGTAGGGAAGAACATGGGGAACCAGGAAAACATTCCAGGCGTATGGGTCAGCGGGTTGATGCTCAGGCAAATGTCCTTGTACAGATGAGTGTCAAAGTAGCCGCCAATGCCGTGCATCACGCAATTCTTTTTCGCTGTGAACTTGAGTACCTTGCAGCGCGTATTGTCGATCTTCTCATCGCGATTGGGATGCGTGAACTCGAACAAGGCCTGCGGCTCGTCGATGTGGTAAATGTTTTTCATCAGCACCACATAACCGCAATCGAAGGCAGTTGGGCTGGGCAACGCGCAGATATTCTGATACAAAATTGAAGACATCAAAGGATTGATGTACGAGGTGGATTTGTAGGGTATGCTGATGCCATCCGGCTTGAGCAGTTTCAGGGCACCGTCCAGACACTCAGGTGAGAGTTCGTTGTCGCCAAAGGAGCCTAGCAGCTCTGATACCATTATATCGGCCAGCTCTGGTGGGTCAAACTCGCGCATGTCCTTGGAGAAAATGTGCACATCTGAAGGGATTCCATGAAGATAATGATTTAACTTATAGCAGCTCATTTACACAGCTTACCCTTGTTGGCCCAGAGCGTCTTAACCATGTAGGAGAGTGTGCGGATGGCATTGGGATTTTTTTCGATAATGTACAATCTAACTTGGCGCTGGGCTAGCTCAGCGGCATTGAAAACAGCGCGGGCAAGCGGACCCCGACCTCCGCCCAGCAACATTATCACTGTCTAGAAAAGAGAACCAGAAAGGTAATAGCTTTCCAAACAATACAGCGGTTTTAACGTACCAACTTATTCTTGGCTTCATTGTCGCTAACACGATCCAGCAAAGCAGCCTGCACGGCGTTCTGATACAGCTTATATTTCACAGGATCTGTTTCGAATATCTCATACGTATAGGTGTCCAAATTGTCGCTCAGAGGCTGCAGGGGAATCTCAAGCACGTGTTCATAGCTGAGACGAGAAGCAATTTTAAGTCGAGGTCTTCTATAGTTTAACTCATTCAAACCTATTTATCTCGTGAATGTCGGTCTTCAGGCTGATGAGCTTGTTAAGGTAATCCGCATACTGGTTTAAGGCGTTGTCGTTGGGATTTGTGGATATAATTATGTTGGCTCGCACCGTGATGAAGTGCCCGATGATAACCTGCCACTCCTTCTTAAGTACAGCGTAGTTGGAGCGATTCCTCACGAACAGCGAGGATGGAATGATGATGGCTTCGATGGGTTCTCCCAACCAACGACGCACAGTCTCCTTGCAAGGCCGATCCGAGTCGTTCAGTTCGATCACCACCTTCACTTTGGGGTTGTGGTCGACGGCAAAGCGCAGCTTATTCCACCACGACCATGGATCAATGGTTTCCGCCTTGGCAATGTCTTCTTCGGTAGCATCTTTGCGATGCTCAAATGTGTCCAACTCCGGGTTGGTGATGGGTACACGGATTAACCAGTTGCCTAGGGGGAAAAGGTCTTTTCATAAGTTTTAAGAGCTTTCGCTCATAATCTGCGGCTTACCCTTTGTTTTGGCCCGTACAATAGCGGCTAGGTTCTCGTTTTGCGGGCTTCGAAGACGCATCATCACGTTACCAGAGTTCTGCAGATGCTCCGCCCAGGTCACCTCCCTCAAGAGCACCTCCTTGGCATGGGCGCGCAGCTTGGCATTCGGTGAGTCCACATTCACGTCGGACAACGTGAATATCACCTTCGAGTTCCATTCGGCGGCGCTCAGAACTGTGGCTGGATATGTGGGATCTGACTCGTGGGGCTCGAATGGCAACATATTGGCGTTGATTGAGGTGGCCACCACAGCGTACTTGTTATGGGTAGCCTTCTCGACAAACTTAGGGATGTTGCTGATGCCCTCCTGGAGCAGACAGACGTAGTTAACCATTTTAAATATCTGCTCCGCCTCTTTAAAAGTGTCCAAAAATGCGGTGACCGGCGAAAGAGAGACCAAAACATTTTGTTTAGGAAATACTACGAAAGAACAAGCTGTGGTCATACTGCGGTGGAAGAAATTGTTCTTTGCTAATTTTGTATTGTGCCCTTTACCACGAATGTTTTGAAATACACAATTAATATAACAATTAAATATTAATAATAAGCCATTAAAACTATCAGGAAGATGTTTGTTAATACATATTTAAAAATTTATGTAGTAAGTATTTTTTCGGTGTTTCTATATAGTGTGACCGAAGTTCAGTCTCTTAAAAAGACCCAAAATTCAATTATTGTCGATATTTCTGTGTGTTTTGTCAATTTTTGTGTTATTGCAATTTTATATGATAAGCAATAGGCTTCCGGCGCTGTGATAGCATGTAATTATCATTGTTGTTCATGGCTAACCGCGATGTATTCTCCAAGATCCTGCCAAATGTCAAGTTGGGCACTCGCTACGACGAGGATGGACGTGAAGTTCAGGTTAGCTTCTCAACCAATCCTCTGGGGATTCCCTGTTTTGAATAGGCTCTCTTTTTAAGGTGGAACGGCGCGAGGACTCGGATGCCACGGCCAAGGAGCAGGACACCTTTGACATTCTAGTGGCAGCAGGATACTACCGTGCCCGCATAAAGGGCTTGTCTGCCTTCGATAAAGTTGTGGGCGGAATGACTTGGTGCATCGAGTGCTGCGACTACGACGTGGACGTGGATCTCCTCTTCCACGAGAGCCTGTCTATTGGGCAGAAAATGTAGGGAATATCTGCAGCAAGGAGAGGTGATGGTGACTAAAGTTTCGTTCTATTTTTGTAGAGCTCTAGTGGAGAAGATAGTCTCGGTGTTGATTGATATGAAGTGCCCGCATAGCTTGGAGCCCCATCAAGTGCAGGGCCTGGAGTTCCTGGCCATACACCCAGTCATCCAGTGGTTGGTCCGGACTTCGGTAAGTCGAGTTTTGAACACTTATGTCGAGTTTGATGGCATTTACTTGACCCTATCAGGTGGAGAACCGTGCAGAGCGTGGCCAGCGCTTGAAGAGATTTGCCATTGGCCAGTTCCACAATCACTATCAGTACAAAAGCGACAAGGACAATCTCACTAAAATACGCCTGGCATCCACTCACATCAAGGCAATACAGGAGTTATACGGACCGAAGAGACTATACGAACGACAGGAAGCCCCTGGTGTCGATGATGTGTCGAGGGTCCGTCTTACTCTGCTTGAGTATGGGGATCCCGGGCCCATGTTCAAGAGCAGTGCAGAGAGAAAGGCATCGCAGGCTGCAGGAGAAGCCGAAGAGGTATAAATTATTAATATTTAAGCCAAGGATTTGAATTAAACCTTCCATCATTACTACAGCTTGATTTGGAGGAATACCTTCGCAGTTTATCCCTCGCTAAGGAAGACCTTACGGGCACTCAGAAGCGTATTGATCTCGATCCCTCAGCGCGACATGAGCTGCAACAGCACTATGCTGACTTCAAACTGGAAATGGAAACCGATGCCCAAGAGCTGAAAGCACAAAACCAACAGAAACGTCTCGAAGCGGCCAAAATAGCCCTAGAGCACAAGGTAAAACGATACTGCAAGGACAACGAAAAGCTAAAAGAAGCGGAAAAGGAGCAAGACCAGAAGACCAAGGAAGTAGAACAGCAGTTAAATACTCTTAACGCTGAACTGAAGGCGCACAAAGACACGGCGGATAAGGCGGATCCAAAGTGAGTTGCTGCTTATGTAGTTTAAAGACGCCTTTTTGATTTTCAATGTTCTGTTAGGCTGCTGGATAAAGTTCAAAACTTGCTACAGCAACATGAGGAGCTCAAGAAAAGCGAGGCAGAGTTCAAGGAGTCCTGTCGTTCGGATTTGGCCAATCTTCAGCAGCAAATTGAGTAAGGTTACTCTAATTTATTAGAAGATATTCATTTATCACAAACTTTTTTTACAGCGATTTGGAAGCGTTTAGTGCCCAAGATGCGGAAACCCAAGCTGCCGCCTTGGCTGGCGAAGAGCAGCGGCTCAAGGAGCTGCGCTTGCAGCTAGCCAAACGCAATCGCGGCATTGTGGCCATCGAAAGAAAGTTGGACGCTATTCCCGATCGGACGGAGCTTGCCCAATACCAGCGACGATTCCACGAACTGCACAACGAAATGAGCGGCAAGCATCTGGAGACCAAGCAATATTACATCCTGTACAACACACTCAATGACAAGAAGCGATACCTAGAGAAGGAGCTGGCCCTCCTCAACTCCATATGCGAGGCCTACAACGAGGGCATGATGAGTCCGCATGGCCGCGAGGACTTCATCCGCCAGTTCGAGTCCATTGTGGACGGGGTGAAAAGCGCCCAGGACAAAGTGCGGCACAAGTACAATGAGGAGAGGATGCGACGCGACGAACTGAATGAGGAGCTGCAGTCTCTGCTGGAGCTTCAGCGGCAGTACGCACTGGCCGTCAAGCAGCTCACCCGCGAGTGCCAACGTTGCGAGCAGCTGCAGCAGGAACTCAGGTCAATTAGGAGCAGGACCCAGTCCCAGCTATCGGTTTAACTACTTTAATTAACACGGAACACACTTAGCGAATTCGTTCAATAAATTATGTACACATATATCGCCCTAATTGTAGTCCCATTATCCCAGCAATCGTTTTACTAGCTGCTCCGCCAAGGATTCGCCTTGAGCTGGATCAAATGCGCACATTTGTCAAGCTTAACTTTAACCTTTGGCACTGCACCGCTCGTATTTCATATATTTCCATTCATATTCGAGTATTTGTGGAATTCCTGTCACTACTGCTGCTGCAGTTTATATCCATGGAACCCCCCATCCGGGATGATAAAGCATCGGCAGGACATGCAGACCGAAAAAATTTGCATATTTGCATTGCTGCCAGCTCACTTAATTCCATTCCATTTGGCGCTCTAATTAATATGCGGGCCGCTTAGTGGCATGCCGAGCAATCAGAGCCACTTCAGGAACTCGGGGACCACAGGAAGTCGGGGGCCCACAGGACCCCAGGACCGACCGCAGCTGCTGCTTGCTGTTAATTAATGTCCTTGCACCTTAACATTGAATTCAAGCTGGGCCAATGCAATTACATTTTATTGCGTGGCAATCAATTCCATTCAACAAGTGACATTGAGACGGGGCAGGGGATCAGATGGGAGGCCATCCGTGGTGGCCCACTTCCTGCTTCCTTTAGCTTTCAGCCTTCGGCCATTTGGCCAAGATAAATTTCCAGCATATGACGAATATTTAAAGCGTCGAGGAGACAGACCTCCGCCGAAGGTTAAACCGGAGTGCTTGACAGGCATTTCCCAACTGACTTTATGGGAACTCTGCTCCCGGCTGCCATTGTGACCGCTCCACCTTCTCCGCGACACTGTCTGCCTTATCGTACAAGAAACACACCCATATAGAACCAGTCAGGCATTCCGCCCATACATACATATATGAGCTTCGTTCGGAGGTCGGAGTTCCCTGGCTCCGGGTAAAAGTGAAAGCCAACACAAGGGCCCATATCCTCCCGCGTTTCCTCATTTATATTTGCTTTGGCATTTCACCCATCATCCGAGCACAAAGGCTGAATGGAATCGAATCGAATGGGGGCTGATTCGGGCGCTGATTGGGAACGCAGGCGAGGGAGCACACACATAAGCCTTGACAAAAGTCAATCAGCATATTTGCTCGATTGGAGGGAGCATGCCAAGCGGATAATCGATTCGCAATGTGTTTGAATAACAAATTACTGGAAATTGTGAATGCGAAAGTCATTGTATCACAGAGAGAGGCAGGCAGATAGACAGATACATGAACACATACTAAACACATGTAGTACTTTTTGGGGAAAAGGATTGGAAATGGTTTCGGGAATCGGGATTAAAATGTACGCAGCTGTCAGTGCCTTCGGATTGCGATGGAAACATCGTGCCAGCTTGACAATCGCTGCGACGCTGCGATTCCACTTGTTGGCCTTTGCCATCTTGTTTGGTGAGTGAACTTGTGACTCGAACTATTGAACTTTGGGCTCAAACAATGAACTGTCCTTACTATTTGCTCCTCCTTCGAAGTGGGGGGGGGGGGAAGCGTACACCATGAGAAAAGATTCCAGGAAGAAAAGAATGTTTGAGTTTGAATGAATGTTTGAGAGGACAAAAGTTGTATACCCCTTGCAGGAAATAGGCCATAACTAAACCAAAGGTATACGAATCAATCAATTCGGAAAGTGTTTCTATACTAGTTGTTTTAAGGCTAACAAATCTGCAAACTCAATTTTAGATTTAAAAATATTCAATTTTTTTGACAATTTTTGAAAATTTTAACGATGTATGTAACTTTGTATATGTTGATAAGATTTAGTTTTGCCCCTGTCTGGGTAATGATTTCAGTTCAAATTTAAAGCAGGTAATGTAACCATGTCAGGCTATTATATACAGCTGGTCAGCAAGCGGGCATATGTGAAATATACTTAACATGGAAAACCTTAAATTAAGTATACGCCGTGTATGTCTTAAGGGACATGTATGTAATTCCACTTAAAAAGCTACCTACAAGAAAAATAACAAACTTCGGGAAGCTGTTTATATACCAATGCAACTTACAATGTAATTATCAGATCGAATATAAAATTGATCATAAATAAGGTTAAAATATTTGCGCTCTTCGAATCGATATTTAAGAACAATTTTTATACCCTTTATCATTGATAAGTTAGTAGGTATGACAAGTAAGAAACTATAAACAGTAATTATATTAAGTATGTATCAGTAACTTTAACCAGGAAGTAACTTTGACCAGTAAGTAACTATGACCAGTAAGTAACTATGACCAGTAAGTATATATGACCAGTAACTATCTATGAAGTAAAATAAACAATGACTTGCAACTTTTGTAACAACACTTCTCTGAGACTTGGCCGGCAGCAGTCACTTCGTTCCGGGGATGATAGAACCAGTTGGGAATCATATGCACAGATCTGCGAGATTTTTTTTTAAACATATTTAAGCTATTTGAATGAAACTATGAGTTATTCGTCTATTTAATTTTACTAGTATATAAGTCGGAGCAAGGCCAATCGGACTATATACATATGTATATAGCTGCCATAGGAACGATCGGAAAATTGTAAGAAAAAATTTTTTAACTTTTTTCACTTTTTAACATATTTTGATTAAATTTAATATATAGCCATTTTATATTATTTTATTCTAAAATTTTGTGAATATTTTATGAAAATCGGACTAATAATCATATAGCTGCCATACGAACGATGTTAGTATCAGCTTTCGTTTATAATTCCTTTATAATGTCTTAGGCTTCTTAGAGCTCATAGAAAGCATATTTATTTTTTTGTGGTGTATTAAAGGCAAAGGCAATAATCGTAGACAGTTCGAGGAAAACTTTAGCCACAATGGGAGAATAGGAAAAACCCAATGGACCGGGCTCAACCACATAATCTGTTGGCCAAGTTTAATCTAATTTCTGTGGCATGTGAATAATCGTGCCGAATTAGTTGTGTTGTTCGATTCGGTTCGGCTGGGAGTCAGTGCACCTTTTTTGTCAACAAAGAAAGTTGCCAAGGATGCTCATGCCCATCCTCCGTCCAGGATCCTGCTGCCCGGGAACGACATATGTGGCAGACAAGTTTAAATCAAGGCAAGGACAACAAAAAGCGATAAAGGAGCTATACATGCATTAATCAACTTCGGCAAATGAACCAAGTTGGCCCCGGGGCCAAGACCCAAACGGGGAGGGAGTCCAAGCCCATGACCTCAAATCTCGAACTTTGGACTTAGCACTCCTCCAGCTCACACCCCCCATATCACCGTCGATTTGTCAATGTGTCAGATGATCGACAGAAAAACGGGCATTGGAGGAGCATTGATTTAATTAATTTATGTTGTCGCTGCGGGCCTGGCAACAGTCGACTCTGGTAACTCTGGACAGGATGCCCAGCAACTCCTTGGCGCTCCTGGCTGGGGCAACCATGCAACAGGTTGGCCAGCTTCCGTGCGAATAGAGCTTTTTGGGAAAAGCTCAGCCAACGATGACGACGACCACAACGAAGACCATACTCATGAATGAAAAGCGGAGAAGCTGCTGCCGCCGATGGGCTCTCGGCTTCAGCTTCAGCTTCTGCTGGTGGTGCTGCTGCTTCTGTTTTCTGCTTTCAGTTTCCGGAGCTCTCATTGCGCCGCTAGCCGGGCCAGCGAACGTACACGGCGCGGACTCCTCTCCGTAGAGATCCCCATATCCGTACGAGATCCTTGTTCAGTTCCTGTGCGCGGTTCCGTTCAAAAGGAAATAACGAGCGTACAGCCGTCACATTTCATTTGAATTTTAATTCAATAAAAAAGTGCACAAAAACGCGGGAATCATAATAATAGTAATAATAATAAAAAAAGCGATATATACCGGGCAGCAACAAATGTAAATGTGCGCCTGGTCGTTTCCATTTCTATCCCGAGTTTTCAAGAAAAGTGTGGTGTGTGCGTGTGTTTTTTGTGTGTGGAAATATGCAAAGATTTGCGTAAGTCGCGAGGCGTAAAAAATATTCAAATTTCATGTCGGAATTATTGCACGCATTCTTAAATAATCCAATGCTGGCACAAGTGTGCAAATAATAAGGAGACTCGAGACTCAAAAGGCGACGCCAAGCGTTTGCTAATAGGATTACGCATCACCTCCGCCGCTGACAGTTTCGGAGGATTAGCAAGGATCCACTCGAAAGCTTCAGCTTCAGCTTCCTCCCGACCCTCGAACGACTTCAAACAGGTAAATTGTAGAGCAGGGCATAGCGCAGTGCAGTGCAACAGGCTTTTTAATCAAAATCACTAATTTCCTGAGGACGTTGCACACGGCGTATGCGTAATTTCCATGCCCCAGCCCAGGCTTTGGCTCATTTTGATATTGATACTCGTATCGCTCTTTGCCTAATTGTTAACTACAGTCCATGGGGGCGAACACCCATAGAGGCGAATTAATAAAGAGATAGCTCGGTGGCCATATTAATTTCGGGTTTGGGGGGTGGAAGGGTGCTTCAAGAGGAGCAGTAAACTCCATAAATATCACATTTTATTAAACAAAGCCCGAATCCATTTGCGTTATTGCGATTACGTGCACGAATGTTAATTGAAGTCACCTCACCTTTTCAGGACCAGAGCGAGATATCTATATACGTACATCCCCATACATATCCAAACACCTGTCGTACCCCCGGAACCTCCCTTGAGCACTTATCAAGCCAGCAGCAAAACCACGAAAACAGATTAGATAAGTCGATGGCGGCGATTGGTGGCTGTGGAAATGATTAGCGAACAAAGAGGGTTGGAGGAGCACACAGAGAGAGAGAGAGGGATATAGATATTGCTGGAGGAGACTCCAGCTGCATGGACAGGGACGACGAATGAATATTCATAATGAGGCGCCAGTTACACATTTGCCGGCGAAGCATGAAAAGCAAATTACGCACAAAATAATTGGCATTAGCATATTTTGTGCATCCTCGTACACACGTCGAGTGTGAGTGTACTTGTGTGCGTGTGTGTGTGTGTGTGTGCGGGGGCGAGGGGATATCCTGTTTTATAAATTGCTTTCAAGTTTCTCTTCTTCAGTTTTTTTCGCACTCCCCCCTCCGTTTCGATTGAACTTCAAATTCCCGTCTAGCACACCCACATGGCGTATACGTGATGCGTCTGAGAGGATTACAAAACGATAGCTGGCAGTAAAGTAAAGTGCCAGTGTGGGATCCGTTCTTTTTCTATATTGAATAAACATTTTTTGTGTTGGTCGCTGGGGGAAGTTCTAATTGATCTCCCCCCTCCCCCAGCTGACAAAGCGGAAATGGACGAAGGACAGAGTATAGAGCATAGAGGGTTGGAAAAAGACAAGCGAGAGAAATTTGTTTTCAATATGGACATGTGTTTACTTATTTAGGACTGGCCGGGCCTTTGTATCTCACCCGCTCGGACAATCCATAATCCCCGCTAAGCGAGGCGAGTGTAAACGATTCCTTGGAGGCATAAACTTCACACATTCCCCCAGTATCGTTCCACCCGCAGCGCCACTTAATCATTACAAATAAGCCACATATGTGCACAGGGAGAAACTCGAATCGATTGAAAGTTTCGAAAAGGAAAAGGGTTTGAGGTGTAGGAGAGGAAATGGTACAGAAAAATGTAGTCTTCATGAGTCAACAATTTAGGGAATGATAAGGCATATTTGTATCCTTAAATATTGCAGACAAATGATGTCATATCCACCATATCTGTCAATCTTAGCACAAACTATACCTGACACTTTTGTATAGATCTTAGAAATTGAAATAAAATTTAAATCAAAATCGTGTTATTTTTTAAAGAAAACAAATAAATCTTAATGACAGTCTGGAGATATATCTAGTTATGACATTGTTTTTTCTCTCCCTGTACACACACACGCGCGGTGGGTAACATTTATGGCTCGTTAGCAATTCAGTTCGAGGTTGGAGCGTCGAGACTCGCAGTTCGCAGCTGGAAAGGGTCTGGAGATCGACGGGCATTATGGCCAAAGGCAGAACCAAAAGTTTTGTCTAGTTTTGAAGTTGCTGCCACATCGGCTGCGGTTGCTTTTGAGGTTCATAGTTTAATTGGCCGGGCATCCCGCTGCAAGCCAATTTCCCTTGGTTTTTGATTGGTTCCCGGGGTCTGGAGAGCCACAAGAGATGCAAACAGGCAAAGTGGCTTTGGCCAGGACAGCAAAGCAGCAGCGGCAGCCACATTTTATCAAAGTCAATTCTTATCTGCACGAAAAATGTTTGCAGCTGAAGTTGATAAATGGATTTACTTTGATTTTACAGCTACAAAATCGATGCTGCTACCCGGTACGTAGTGCGAGTACTTCTCCCATTTGAATCTGTCCGATACCAGGAGTCAGAGTACGGAGCGCCAGGGAAGACAATGGACCGAAAGGGCGGTCAAAGACTCGTGTCTGAATCATCGAAGGTTCCCGGGGCTCCAGCAGCCGCTTCTTCCCCACCCACTTGGCTACTTGGCCAAAAACCGAAATTGCACTTAAAATTGAATGCTTGGCTGGAGGAGCGTGCAACCCACAGATAATCTATGACATAAAATCACGCGACAGTAAACGGCGCTTAATGCCAGACAAAGGGAAAGGACAAAGGATCAACTGCAACTTGTGTGTAGCTTTCCAAAAGGGATGGGTATTTGTCCATGTACCTTCTTTGTGGCAGCCACTCGACTGGAAATTATATAAAAAACTTTGCGTTTGCTCTTCATTTTTGCGCTCGTTTTGATTATCAGCCATTGCATTTGCATTCACAGTCGCATTTCCATTCCCATTTTCATTCTGTTTCCATTTGTCATGTTCGCTGCCCAAAACCGAAACCCATTTTGATTTTATTTTTTTGCTGTATGAGTCACAGCTGCATTTATCTGTTGAAATTTTTTCGCTCATCTGGCAGCTTGTATTTATCATTTGCGCATCATTAGGTCGAGTCTAAACGGAATTATTTATTTGCCTCAGTGAGAACTTTCCCCACTTGAACAGCTGCTGCTGCTGGCCCTAGAATCCAGAGAACTCTTCAATTAACACCAACTGAAGTGCAAAAAGTGCTCGTTAATCAAGGATTTGTGCTTGAGTTTTCCTTGGAACTTTACTTCGCTTTTGCCAACGATTAAAGTTTAGCAGATTTAATTGGAAGTCCAAATAGTTATCCTGAATGCATTTTGCTGTAAATTTCACTTGTTAAACTAAACTACATAAAGTGTTTTATTTTTCTAGAATTTACTGCACAATTTCCTAATAATCCAAGTCAGGCTTAAGCTTAATCAAAGTAATTACCCCTTAATATTTTTTTAGCTTAGCTTAGCTTAGAATCCTCTTATACACTATACTGTATACCCTTCAACTTTATGCCCTGACCTTCGCTGATTGAGTTCCACTGACAGTTTCTTTCATTTCCACAAAAGCCTTAAAGTTGGGCAGCTTAAATTGAAGACCTTCCAAGTAGTGCCTCTTAATCATTTACTATCAGCTTGAAATGGTTTTCTGATTACCTGCCGGCAAAGTTTTATGAGCCAAAGAGCTCTCCTGCCAGTCCAGGAGCAAGGAGCTCTTCGTTTTAGCAACTTTACCACACGAGCTGCAGGCTGAACAATTTCTGTTGCCTGCCTCGAGGGGCCCTTTAAAAATTTCGAACCACCACAGACTGTGTGTTTCGTAATTTTGTAAGCCAGGAATTTTGCATTTAATTGCTTAATTACTGCTGCTCGGCAGACATTCCCAGAGAGGTGGAGGCGATGACTGAGGAGCCTCTGACCCACAGCCTCTGCTCCCGGGCACTAAGCGGCTGGCATTTATGTTTACGTCTCTCAAACTGTTTTATGGCCTCACAGAAAGGAGCATTTATGACTGCCCCGGGTTCCCGGGGTTCCTCGGCGGTGCAACTGTGATGTGTGGGCGTGGCCAAAGCCAGACCACAATTGCCGCCAAGTGGGCGTTTAGGCACTTGGGCCACAAACAACTTTCTCACCAGCCGCCGTCATGAATGCAAAGTTTTTATCCTTAACCCCGGGACCTGTTCTCCTTCCTCCTCCTTGCAGACTCCCTGCCCGCTGGTCATCATGCCTACCATGGTGGTGTGTTCGTTTCCCGCGTAGCCAGCTGCATCCCATCCGACGTCCGGACAACGCCCAGCTATGTGGACGTACATGATGGCTGCCGCCCGCGGAGATCGGGTCAACACGATGATGTCCACCCGGAGACGCCCCGAAACGGAGTCCCCCAAATACGGTTACAAGTGAGTTTCTACTTTGATTGCATTATAAAATTTCTAATGTAACAAAGAAATAAAATATCAGACACATAATATGGAATATGTAAGAATTTGTAAAGGACAAAAATGTTTAAAGACCTAATGTTAAAGATTCTAACTCTTGGAATTATTGTTTTAAATATATATTTAATTGATTGATTTTAAAATATATAAAAAGTACTTCATTAAAGTATCTTAATAATTTATTCTCGCATAATAACAAATTTTTGTGATGTAGTCCCCACAAATACAAGGAACTTTCCTAAAAGGTATTTTTGAAGTTAAAAATTGCATCAGTTTAAGTAAAACTTAAACATTAACCTTTTAATATTTTAAAATTCAAAAATGTTTTCAAATTTATTTATATGTAAATAAAATTAATGAATATGAATAACCAATTTAATGAAAATTAGACAAAAAGCTAATTATAATTAACAGTTTAATTTCTAGTATTTTCATGCTTTTGCTTCATAAAAGTCATGTTTAAAATAGAGAATGTCCTGTTTTATATTTAAATAGCATTTCACTTTAAAAAGAAAATATAAATATATATATGAAATTTAAATATTTATCTTATATATGTATACACTCCCTTGCCACTGTGCCACCAGCCTCTCCACTCGTCCCATGTACCGAACCACCAGATTCGTGGGCCCCGCCTCCTCGGCGCCCGCCCAACTGCAGCTGCCCTGCGGCTCCCATCAGGCAGTCAGCATGGGCATGGCACCGCCACCGCTGGAGGAGATTAGCGGCGGTCTGTTCGCACCCTTTGCGCCCACGGCGACGATTACGGTCGAGCAGGCGGCCACCTCGATACCGATGGCCGTTGAGGGCGAGGTGCATCATCTCCACTATCCGCGCAGGAGCTGGCAACGTAGATATCATCAGGGGAACCATCGCCAGGCGGAAGGGCTGGCGGGACAGGATGCGGACGATGACGACGATGATGAAGACGATGATGATGATGATGAGGATGAGGACGACGAGGAGTTCGGAGAGGCTGTGGGCGAGGATAACCCGGAGGAGGCCATTGCGAGGGCTGACCAGCAACAGAAACATCACCATCTCCATCAACCGCATGCCAGCGATCCGAGTTATGTGGAAAATGGCAGGAAGCTGATACAGGTGAGTGGAAAACAAACGCTGAGATGCTTTTCATATAACAGAAACCCTGGCTTTAAAGCCAAGTAACTTTAAATCAAATAGGAAGCTGCTAGTAAATTATACATGCAATTCATAAAATTAATACAAAATTTAAAATTACTTATATTATATACTTATAGTATTCCATATCAAATAGTTCCCAAAATATGCAAAACTTTTTGCGTAAAATGAGTAAATCAATATGCCTGCATGGCCAATGTGGCGTATGCGTAATTTGATAGTAAATGCAGATAAAAGCTCACTGATAAACGATGGCCAATAATCCGTAGCCAATAACTGATGCATTATGTTCCGTCGAGGTTGTAATTTCATTCTGTCCCTGGCCACAATTCAATTATGTGGAAATGTAATTAAGTAATTGCTCTAATTGATTGACGCCTCGGAGGAGGAGGTAGAGGAGGTGGAGCCACAATTGGCCCACTTTTTGGAGCTGGAACTGCGGGCCAGGCCAACTCCGCTTTGTCTGCATAACTTTGAACCTGTATCTGCCTTTGCCCCTGGCTCCAGCTGCCATCCACCATTCCAGACAAATGCAAATGAACTGGGCAGACCTTCATAAACTTGACCTTGCCGTAAATCGCGTTTTAATTACTTCCTCTATTGTCACGTAGCCAAGGCATCGCCCCAAGTCGCCTCCTCCTGCCTTTTGGAACCCCTGAGCTCCCCCGGGCGTCGCCAGTTGAATGCCGTTTTCGGTTACCCGCAGAAATTTTTTATTAGCACGTGTCAATTGACTTAAAACACTGCAAAAAAGAGAGACAAAAAAGGCTAGGTGCTGCTGGTCATGAAAGGGGGAATGGAGGTGAGTTGGGTCATTTTCTTTTTGGGCAGACCCATTAGGCCAAACACAGTTTTGGGATACTCTAACAAGGGAGGTGGTTGAATAACCGAATTGAAGGTAGAGAGAGTTTAGAAAAATGAAATGGAAATATATTTGAAAGGGATTTTGTAGGGTTTGTAGGTTATAAGAGTTTAAATTTAACCACAATGTTTGAATTCCGATTCGATCTGATAATTAAATTGCAAACTTCATTAGTGTATAAACTTCAACATCCTGAAATTTGTTATTTTTCTTGTTTAAATTGCCTTTTAACTGGAAGAACTTTATCGATTTGCAACCTATTCGCGACACACACGGCGTATACTTAATTTAAGTGTTCTCACGTTAAGTATACGCCACGTATTCTCGGTAGTTGACCAGCTGTATGCAGCTTAACAAATATTAAATTAAATCTAATAGGAATTTTTTTTTTTTTTGTTTAATTTTATTATTTAGTTTATTAAAGAAAAAACGAAATACAAAACAAAGCGTATAATAAATTTCAATCTTTTAAACAAATTTATGCGGGAAAAACTGACAGCTGATAACAATTTGCTTTAAATAAATATGACAAGCTTCTGATTTGCCTGACAAGGCTTTAGTTTAAAGCAAACTGTAAGTTTCTTATGCAAATTTCTTATATTTACATTTCCTAATTTTTAAATGCAAATCCTTGGCCGGCACAAAACTAATCCAAAAGGTGACTTCCTTTGACTTCCTTATCCTGAATCTCAAACCTGTCACATCTTTTGCTGGCCGAAATCAACTTACTTACTTAACATGACTGCAACGGCAGGCCTCATCAGCAAGCTGGCGGACTCATCATCCACCAGATCTCGCATGTCCTGTCCAGGATAATTGCATTACTTGGGTTTCCTTATGAAATAAGAAGAAGAAGTCGAAGGAAACCAGACTTCTTCCGACCCGCAGGGCTATAAATAAGTGTAAGAGTGTGTATTTCGGTCTTGGGGGCTTGGGGTGTTTGTTTAACGAAGAGCAGGGACAACACCAGCTGCTCCTGGTTTCCGGAGGCGATGCGGTGCGGAGCCAAGGGCGATAACCAATTTGATAGATAAGAGAATCGAGTTCGAGTGCTCCGCACAAAGTGGATGGAAAACGGGGACAGAGACAGACACAAAGCGAGAGCAGCACCACAAACAGTTTCAATGTCATTTCATAAATGGCACCAGAAACAGCAATACCAATACCAAAGCCAAAAGAAAAACGCAATGAAATAAATACAAATGAAAAGCCCTCAATGCCCCATCCTCTCAAGGCTCCCCCTCTCACACTCTTCCCCTCTGACCCGTTTTCCATTTACAATTTTCCATTTCCACGCCCGCATATCGTTGTGGTTGTCGTCCAAATATTGGCTTGGTCGCTCGGTTGGTTGTTGTTAATGCTTTTGAGGTGTGTTCCAAGTGTTTGTCCAGCAACAGCAGAAGCACTGAAAAACAGCTCAAAACAGGCAGAGAAAAGCTAAGGAAACCCCAAACTGCTTGCCATTGTGGTTATATAAACGTCCATTACTCAAAATTGGCCAGAAGCATGGCGAGGGGGCTAAGAGCAAGGAAAGTGGGAAATTTTATAGAATTGGCATTGAAAATATGACAAGTCTCGTGCCATTCCAAAATAGTTACAAGTCCTCGAGTTGAACAGCCTCGACAACAGGACAGGCACAGGGCTGGTGTATCCTTGTCAGCTGGTCGTACAGTCATTCAGTCATCCAGTCATGCCATTAAACCGATTAATGAACTCTATTTACTTGGGCCATACCTGCGTACATACACGGTGCGAAAAGGGGTGTAATAAAGCTATCTTTGAGGTTTTTTCCTGCTGGGTTTCTTTGGTATTTGTAAGCTATTGGATTTTATAGATATTCTATAGTTTATTTCATTATTTTTGGTTGCCTTAAACTAAGGATTTCAAATCTCTGAAACTGTCGTGAGAGATATCATTAAGAATTCAAATTAATTTTCTAATAAAAGGCACTTAAATATAAATATTATATATTTTTTCATATAAAACGTTACAAAGACTTTTAAAAATATCTGAATTACATAAGTTGGATTTTGGGCAATTTGTAAATCCCATTTTTCTTACCGTGTAGATGTTGCCTCGATTGTCCTGCCGTCTTCGCCATAATGTAGTTGTTGCTGTGCAATTTGAGAAGGCGGCAGGACACTCAACGCGATGATGATGGCACTAGGCGGCGGAGAAGGGCAGGCAAAGAAAGGGGGTACGGGAGAAAGTAGAAAGGAGCGAGAGCAAACAGCGAAAGTGCGGTCTGTCTCGTGGACTTTCCGTTTAGTCAAATTTCTTCTTTTTTTTTGCCCCATCGACAGTTACGAAAAAAACGCGCTCGCAGGCGGCAGCTTAGGTCGTGGCCAGTGTTACTTGGCAATAAATAATTTTACTAAATAATCGTTTAAACAAAAACACAAACACAGAGACAACTCCCGGAATTAAGAGCAAAAACAATGCTGAACTCGTCAACTAATGCGTTCGGTAAACAATTGAAAACAAGGCTTAAAACTGAAGCGGCAATAACAAGAAAATGAAAAAGGAAAAAACAACGGCAACAACTGCAGGGACATCGGGATTTCCATGTTGATGAGGGTCTCTCCTCTGATTCGATCCCTTGTAGCTTGTTTTTTTTTTTTTTCTTTTCGGTGGAAAAACACAACAAACAGGACATCGACGGAGTAGGAGGAGTGTGAAAGGCATTAGTCAGTTTATTAAACGGACCTTGTTATCGTTTAGACGAATGTTCAATGCCTGTTGCCAACCGATAAACATCAGAGCTTATGGTCATCCAATCTGCGTCGCAATTTGCATAATTTCCCACGTTCCCATCGAAATCACAATCAAATAAATATAACTATCGCCTTGTATCAATAACAGGCCAGTGATAAAGTGCACGAGTTCAACAAAAAGGGGGTTTAGCCCCCTTTTGAACTCGTTGTTGGGTGATAAGATATTGAAAACCCATTTGGTGTTGTTTTTCAGGCATTTCCCAAATCAAAATCAATCCAAGGTTTGTTATTGCAAACAGCAAACTATCTACCAAAACAAAGGGCTTTAATATATCTGTTCTTAGAGAGATAATAAGAACATATTAACTTCTAACATGAAGTACAGATTTCCGAGAATACCTTGAATAGTAAATTATAACATAATATAGTTTAGGGAGAGGGTAAACCTTCAAATTCATTACCCGGTTCGCTTTCCATATGCTAGAATTCCTTTATTCAATTTCCCAGCACTTTTCCCTGTCTCCAAACATCTCCTAAACGTTTTCTAAATACAATTTATTACCTTGGCTGTTAATAAAGTCCAGAGTTAACAACTCCATTGGCTTCACTTCCTCAATTACGAGTTAGCTATTTAGGCCTTTCCAGCCCGATTTTTATGGTGCAATACCAACTTAGTCATGTTTTTATGGTGTGAGCATAAAATGCCCACGCGTGTCATAAATGTCGATATGAAAACGCTTGATTCGCTTAGCATAAAGTTACCTGGACAGGTGGGGGAGATGGTCGGATGGTGGACGGACTTTGGCCTAACGGACTCGCAATTATGGAAATTTATTGTGAGCTTCATGCTGGGCCTTTGTGCCCTGAATGCCAATCAGGGCGGTGGTCCGATGATAATGCCAATGCTGCTGGGTCAGTGTTTCAAGTACGGCCAAGAAATAAAATAAAATAAGTTAAATAATACTAAAAAAGCCGCTCGATTTTTGTGCGTAACCTTGCATTTGGCGAATCGTTTAGCCTGTTGGCTGATGAGCTCATTGAAAATCTGATTTATTGACGGTGGGGAAAATTGATCTTCCCAAAAACACCGGCTATACGTCAAATCAATTGCGATTAATTTATGCCCAAGCTGACCGCGTTCCGCCTTTTAGCTTAATTGAAGCGGCGTTGTTGGCCCGGCCAATTAAAAAGCATTTAGAGAAAATGCCAAACGCCGGGCAGTGTCATCAATCTTGCTTGTGGCTTGCTACGTTCAGGATCTTCGGTGCGATGAAGGACCTCCGGTCACTGGAGACATCATCATCATCATCCGCTTTGGCTGCAAGTTAATTAATTAAAACGCGGCAGCTCGATGAGTGGCGATGCAAATTAAGAAAATGGCAATACAAGCTTTTTGAATTGACAACAACAGCTAAAACAAATAGAAAAACCCCTCGATTTACAGTGAAGGCTCATTAAAGTAAACTTTTTTCGGGTTGGACAGGATTATATTAAAAACTAGGAAGGAAACAAACTACGGGAACTAACTAAATTGTGGGATCAAAAACCGATCAAAACTAAGCTTAAAATATTCATATTCTTTGAATTGATATTAAAAAAAAACATTTTTGTAGGCTAATTTTTATGACAAATCAAATCAAAATAATTTCAATTCAGAAAACTTTTCTATGTTAGTTTTTATTAGGTTAAAAAATCAGCATACTCAATTTAAAATTTTTGAAAATTTTAACAATGTAACTTTTTTCGAAAAAATTGTTACATTTAAATGCCTAAATAGAATCGGCTGTCGATGCTGATCAAGAATATATATGATTTATGGGGTCGGAAATAACTCCTTCACAGCCTTATAAGCTCCTAAATTAATTCATTATATATAAAATGTATATAAAAATGCAAATTCTGACCCAATACAAAAAACCTAAGCGAGTGCCTTAGCGAGTGTTCACTGTAGTATATTGCGTATGGATGTCGTGCTTTGGTCAGTGGCGTTGCCTCTGCCAGCGTCGCTGCCCGGCCTTCGATGGCAGCGGGCGAAGTGAACTCAAGTGCGGCACTTTGGCGGCATCTGACGGCGCGAACAGTTTGCGAAGCCAGCTCGACGCCAGCTGAATGAACGCATGCGCGCAGCCGCTGACCAAATAAGTAATCGCAATTGCTGCCATTTATTGTTATTGCCGCAGGCTAAATTCGGTAGAATCACGCTGCAGAAGTGGATAAGCGGAAAAGTGTACAAGTAGAAGTGAAAACGCAAAAGGAAGTGAGAGCCAGTGAAAGGAAGAGGAGCAGCAGGAGGCAGCAGGAGCTCAGTCAATTTGCATGCGACATTTCAAAGTCAGAGACATGGTGCAGTCGCTGGATATATCCGCCATAACGGGACAGCAGACAGATGCGGTAAATCCACCTTCACAGTTACACATGTGACCTTCAGACCTTCAGCCCTTCCACCCACCAGGCACACACACACATACACACAGCAGGGGGCGTGGCATTGCATTGTCATTCGCAATTTGCCATTTGCCATTGCCCGCCCAACGAGGCGTATGCGTCATATTTTCTGTTTTTGCCCTCGTAGCCCCCATTTTTTTAGTTTTTCCTTGGTTTTTTCTGCTTTTTTTTTGTAATCTAAGGATAGCTTAATGGATTAACCGCTGCCGGCGGCTGATAAGCGTTTATTAGACTGTCAAGCACACGCCTTTAATGCCTAGAAAGTTGTCATGGAAACTGAAGACTGCGAAAGAGTAAAAGAAAAGATTTCTTGAGGCTTAGAAAAATGTATAAGCGGTCTGGTGGAATCTGCAACTAAATTTATCTAATCCTATATAAACTTAAGCTAAAAATATTCGTTCTTGGATAATAAATCAGTTTCTTAAGTCTATAATACAAAATAATTAAAAATACTTTATACTGTTCTCCAATTCCTTCCTCTCTACATTTTATAATATTTATTCAAGGACTTTTCTTTGTTGCGTTCAATTTGTTATTTATATATATGCTACCTACAGGTTTATCCTTTTACAAATCTTGATTTATTATTCCAGCAATTTTAAGTATTCTCTATCCAAACAAACATAAATATTCTTACCATTAATTGATTTAATTTTTTGCTGCATTGAAACCAACAGAAATGCTTTCCTCTTCTTCGAAATATTTATAAAAAAAAACCAGAGCAGATGAAATGCTTTTTAAACCGCATTAAATCTGTAGTTTATTAGTTTTTCAGCTGTCTAGCAATTGGCCGCGTCATTCAGCCCGGCAGACATAACAAAATTTAAGCACCAAACTTGGATGCTGCCCAACTTTTAATGTGGTTAACTGGGCGAAGGAGTGTCGGGGGAGGAGAAGCAGAAAAAGGAGATACCCATAACCGGAGCACTAAAACGCTTCAATTAGTAAACGTTCGGGGGAAAACTTTTATCCCAGAACTTATGTCTGAACAACCCACTTTTAACCCACTCTCGATTGCACAGAGAGAAAATCTTTGAAGAGTCTAAAGAATGCTTAAGATTTAACAAATATTTGTACAGTATTGCTCAGCTTGAATAGAACGTCTTACCCTCTTCAATAAATTTCTCTGCCTGCAGGAACCAAGTAAACATAGCAAGCCATCGGCTTTGAGACGCACCCTTCAAGCCCTTCGCCAGCGTCTGACTAAAAGGAATCGCCCCAAACCGCCGGATTGGTTCCTCGAGAAGTTCTCCAACACCACCAATACGGACAAGATTGGCAAGGGAGGATGTCCGACAATGGAGGATGCGGCCCTCTCCAGCGAAATCCGAGGCTCCAGTGTCCTGTGCAATCGTCTCTCCGTGGATCCCACTCTGCAGTCGCATTACAGGGTGAGTGAACTCTCTACTGGAGTTGCCAAAAGGAATCTGAGTCACAATTGGGATTCCCCATGGCAACAAATACAACTTCTTGCATTTGAAGCAAGAGAAAGCTTACAAGTCTTAAGCCAATTAGCTAAACCCTGTTTTAAATACTGTAAAAAACGTTATTTGAATTTACAATTGTTTTTTTAGTGGCTGGCCATTGTTTCGCTGGCTGTGCTGTACAACATCATCTTCGTGGTCGGACGGGCCGTCTTCTGGGAGATCAACAAAAGCGCACCCGGTGTGTGGTACACACTGGACTACCTCTGCGACTTCATCTATCTGCTGGATACGCTCGTCCACATGCACGAGGGTGAGCACCTGACCCGTCACACATCCTGGCACATCGCAAACCACCCTGCACCACAAAACATCCAACATCCATCCCATACCGACTCCCGCTCGGTTGCGTGTTTGAGATTTGAGATTTACCTATGCAAATGAGACCGGCACTAAGCCGCCTTCAGACAATGGCAGCGATGCTGTCGGCAAAGCCATTTGCCACGCATGTGAAACCCATTTCTGTCCCTGAATCCCACATATGTAGACGAGTCCTGCCAGCTCCAGCTTCGGGTGTGGGTCCGGATGGGGATTGTGGGAGTGGTTCAGTTGCCAAATGCAGGGGATAAGCCAACCTTGACATTTTATACAATGGCAACAAACGTTCTGGTACCCCTTAGTTACGGCTGTGAAAGGCATAACTAATTTGATGTCTGAATTGTGACAGTTATGGGTTATAAGGATGTATTTTAAGAAATATCCCAGACTTTTTTGAAATGTTCCTGGAAGCTTGCTAAGCGTTCGGTTTGCTTTAAAACTCCGCAACCCAAAAAAAACCATCTCAACTTTTCCACAAGTGTTTGTATTTTATGTGTATGTAGCTTTTCCCTTTCTGTGCTTTTCCAGTTGCAATTTCCTGTCTGCTAGTTAAATATTTATGTTTATTTTAGACTAATTAATGCGGGTCTGAATTAGGCCTTTTGCTGAAATAAATTTAAAGCAGACCAAGGAATTTTAAAGCTCCAAAGTAGCTTTAATTTAATTCTTAAAAAGAATAAGTTTAAATATAATAATAAAGTAATTCCCCAGTAACACCTTAACATCCCAGGGTATGTCCACATTCATCAATTCCACAAGACTCATACAAAAATCCAAAAAACTATAAAAACTGTCGCCGCATGGTGCAGGCAAAAGGCATGACTGAAACAAAAGAAGGCACCACCTCCACCACCACCACCCGGACTAGGAGCATGGCTCTGGGTCACCGCTACCACAGAGCAAGTCAAAGCCAAATCTAACCCCCTCCCCTTTTTGTGTGTCGCCTTTATCCTTGGCAGGATTCCTGGACCAGGGGCTCCTCGTGCGGGACGCGTACCGGCTGCGCAGTCACTACTTCCACACGAAGGGCTGGTATCTGGACGTGCTATCGATGTTGCCCACGGACCTGGCCTACATCTGGTGGCCACCGGAGACCTGCTCTAGCCTGTACCTGCCATGTCCCGTCATCGTTCGCCTGAACCGGCTCCTGAGGATTAATCGGCTGTGGGAGTGGTTTGATCGAACGGAGACAGCTACTGGATATCCGAATGCCTTCCGCATCTGCAAAGTGGTCCTGGCGATTCTGGTGCTGATCCACTGGAATGCCTGCATGTACTTTGCCATTAGCTATGAGATTGGATTCAGCTCGGACTCGTGGGTCTATAATCTGAATGGAACGCGAAACAACACACTTCAGCGGCAGTACATCTATAGCTTCTACTGGTCCACACTGACACTGACCACCATTGGAGAGACTCCAACGCCGGAGAACGATGTGGAGTATCTATTTGTGGTGGCCGATTTCCTGGCGGGTGTACTCATCTTTGCCACCATTGTGGGTGAGTTTCTGTTGATATATTTGTAATTTTTTTACGTGGAAGCATTTAAAAAGCATTCCTTAAGAACCATAATTTATTTCCAAGAAAAGTCGGCCTGCCCTTTTTCAGGACTTATTATAATTCCCCTCAATTTCCTCAGCTGCTTTCAGAGTAGTTCCAGGTCACAGGGTCTCAGGACTTTAGTGGGTCAGCGGGTGTCCCTGGTAAATCCTTTTTGGGTCCTCTGTTTGCGCCTGTTTACGCAAATATTTTGTCTGATCGTTTAATTGGTTCCAGAGTGACATCTGTGACATCAATGGGTATTAATTTACAGCCACGCACGTCAGGGTCGTTGGTCGTGTGGGTCGTCCTTAGCCTCCATTCCTCTCCGGCGACCCACATTATTCATTACGCTCCCAGTCTTGTTCTATTCGTCTCTCGTTCGTTGCCATTTTGTTTTGTTTTGTCGGGTTGATTTGTTGCCTCCTGCTCCGCCTTTTATTTTTTGGCAAACGTGCCTTTTTATCATTTTTGTCGTCCTCCTTATCGCTGCCATTACCGTCCTCGGAGCAAGTCGCATTCCCGGAGCAGCTGCCAGACTGCTCGAAGCCTCACATTTCGCATCCACATCCACGACCTCGCTGTGCAAACAAATTTACTTACTGTGATGAATGCCGAGTTCGTTTGGACAGGACAATTTGACGGATGCACTGGCAGAAAAAGAATGTAGTTAGCTTACCACAATCCCATATTTTATTAGGTTTAGATAGAGACCAGGAAATGAACAAAACGGAGCGTGTCTAATAAGTATGGGTTCTTTCAAAGCTGGGATTCCTTTTGAAGGATATTCTTGCAGAAGCTTTTATATTTCGTAGCAAAATTTAATGTTTCCTGTGTTCTTAATGCGCTGAATGGCTTTGTAAATTTCTGGGAAGAACACTTATTTAAAAATTAATTAATTGATTGCCTTAATAGTTTAATTAGGTTTTAAATATGTGGTATATCTGCCCAGAAATTTGTCATTCAGTCATTCAGCTTGGCCTTCTTTATGTTTTCTTACATCTTATACTAATTAGTTTAAGGTTATTATATTCATTCATGTGGTTTCGCAGTTAATTTTTGAGAATTTCGGAATTCTATTGCTTTTGAAAATATTTTTTTAATTGGGTCCAATTGCTATTGTTTTTGTTTTATGACTCCGATTTCTTTCACTATAATAATATTCCAAAAATTATGAGCTTCATTTATATGAAATATACTTCCCTAAACTTTTTAAAGCCTTCTTAAATCGTCCTTCGACATTAAGTATTTGAGGGAAAGTCGAATCAGATTTTATTTTTTGCCAAGTGGCATGGAGGTCACTATGCCATTCCACCCCGTTGTTCACACAAACGGGCGTGTGTGTGCGTGAGTTTGGCACCGGAAGTGCCGCCATTAGTCGCCTTTGTGCCGCATTATCCAAATGCCGGAATCCCCGAGTGGCACGGCACACTGGTGGCTTCAGTTTCATTGTACAAGCCGGTTATGAAGCGGCCAAGATGAATGGCCATTCCGGTCCAGCCTGCCGCCTGCCGCCTGCATTCATTAACCAAGTTTCCTTCTCTTCCTGCCTCCTACTCACACCTCTAGGTAACATTGGCTCCATGATCTCCAACATGAATGTGGCCCGCGTGGAGTTCCAGAATCGCATGGACGGCGTGAAGCAATACATGGCCTTCCGGCGGGTGGGACACGAACTGGAGGCCCGGGTGATACGGTGGTTCGCCTACACCTGGTCGCAGAGTGGTGCCCTCGATGAGGAGCGAGTGCTGGCCGCCCTGCCCGATAAGCTGAAAGCGGAGATTGCCATCCAGGTGCATATGGATACACTGAAGCAGGTGCGGATCTTTCATGATACGGAACCGGGTCTCCTCGAGGCTCTGGTACTGAAGCTGAAGCTGCAGGTCTTCAGTCCCGGGGACTATATCTGCCGCAAGGGTGACGTGGGCAAGGAAATGTACATCGTGAAGCGTGGAAAGCTCTCGGTCGTCGGAGATGATGGCATCACCGTGTTGGCCACTCTGGGAGCTGGTTCCGTTTTCGGTGAGGTGTCCGTGCTGGAGATAGCTGGGAATCGGACAGGGAACCGGAGGACAGCCAACGTGAGATCCCTGGGCTACTCGGATCTCTTCTGTCTGGCGAAACGGGATTTGTGGGAAACGCTGGCCGATTATCCGGAGGCGAGATCCACGCTCACTCAGCGTGGATGCCAGCTGCTGCGCAAGGATGGGCTCTTGGATGAGCAGATATTTGCTGGTAAGTTATGAGTTATGAATTATTTATCATTTATTGGGTCTTCATGAACTTATCTCTCTTAATTAAATACTAATGAATTAATAGTTCATGAATTATTTAATTGGTTGTGGAAAAACATTGATTAATCTTTGGTTAATGGACTTAGGAGCGACAAAATATATTATTATCATTTATGGTCCATTAAGCCCACGCATCTACAATAAATCTACTTTAATTTGTTGGAATTATGGAATAAATATGTGTATTAAGTTTTTGTTGAGCTGTGAAAACGATTAATCTTAATGAAAATGGTTTTTCGGCGTGTATGTTAGAAGGGATCTTTTCTCTTTTTTTACCTTTACATCAATCAAAATAGATTACCTTAACTTGTATATTTCTTTAAATCAAATTCCTTTTCTGGCAAACTGGAAACTTGGAAAAGTTCTTAATTGAATATGGAAAATTTCCCGCCCCTTTTCTAGACTCCCAACGAGTCCATGACAGCATCGAGGGCGGCATTGAGAAGCTGGAGCTCTCCGTGGAGAACCTAAACATGCGACTGGCCCGTCTGCTGGCGGAGTACACGGCCAGCCAGGCCAAGATCAAGCAGCGTTTGGCCAAGCTGGAGATGAAGTGAGTGGCTTTATTGTACCCCTGGCACGACCTTAACCCCCTTTAAACCTCGATTTCAGTGGCAGTCCTGGCACGTGGCGGCTGGAGTGCGAGCCGCAGACGCGAGTACGCAGCGGACGGCTTTATTCATTGCAGCCAAAGAGGCGCCCACGTTCGCGACCCGACGCCACTGCCAAAAGCGGCGAGGCTGCCAAACAGAACACGCTCTAAGCCCAGGAAGAAGCCCCGGAAAAGCCTCGGCCAGGAAAAACCCCCAAAAACCAAACCAAACCAAGCCCCAACCCTTTAGTCTGCCCCGAGGCCGGAAAATAGTGATAAATGCATTAAACTTGCAGGAGTATAACCTTTGGCCCCGGGCCAAACTTTCCATGAATCTGTTTTTTGCCGGGTAAAAGGTAAAGTTAAATCAATTTTTAATTTTTACAATTAGTTACGTTACGGGGGTGCCAGCGACGCTTAAAGGGTGCAGACTTTATAAATTTGTAAAATGATTCAAAACTGAATGTGCCTCAAAAAAAAAAAAAAACAGTGTGTGCGTGTGTGTGTGAGTGTGCGAGCTAGAGCTAGGTTAAGGGGAGGTACAAAGGGGGGGCAGAGGCAGAGGAAATGATAGAAAGTTAACCCACTACGATCCAGTGTACATAATTTAAGCATAGTCCAATTTTACAAGCGAACAGCGATTGTTTGCCTAGGCTAGGATGTTTTTACACACGCGCACCTGGGACACACACACACACACACACCGAACCAAGGATTAATTGCAGCAAAAATCATATGAAAACACAAACATAACAACAACAAACTGACCAAGAACCGTAGACATTGCTGAAACTACTTAGGAGCAGGTTAAGGGATAAGCCAGAGCAATGCTGGCAAGGATTAGATGGCATCAAACCGAACAAATCGAATTCAAAGAAAGCAAATGTTAACAAGTAAGCTTCCAAAGCTTCCAAGCCAACACAGGAGGGGGAAACAACAAGAAAAACAAGAGAAACAAAAACAAAAAACATTAAGCAAAAAGATAAACAAATGAAATGTATTTTTATATTAGTCCTAGACATTGAGTGTACGATGTATTGTCTATGTGTAAGTACGTTTAAAGCAAAAAGAATAAAAAACGAGAATCGAGTCAAATTATATCAGAGCACTTATGCCGGCATAAATGTATCCGGAGCAAGTGCTTCACAATTCCAGAGTTTTCTCCAGTTCTAGGTAAATGCAAATCGCCCACAGCCTCCGGCCACGCATTACCTCCAAAGGATTCTCTTACCCATCTCTCGGGCAGGATTCTTTTTACCGCCTCTAATGACATCTTCGTAGACGTAGAAGAAAAGCTCCAGAGGAAGAGGAAAACGCAAAAAGGGAAACTGTATATATGGGGCCACCAACAAAGTCAATAAATGCAAACGCATTGGGGAAAATGACAGCGACACGCGTTGGCTTTTTGGGTGCGACTTCTTTGTGTGTACAACGTACAACATGGCGTATGAGCAATGCCAATGTGGCAAAAAAGGTAAAAAATAAAGGTTTATAGAAGAAGTGTTAAGCAGGGAGCAGCGGGGAAATTCTACACAGAAAAAAAACTCTAAATAAATGGTGATAAATATGCTGCAAGCAGTCACCACACAGAAAACCAGGATTTAAGGTTCGACTTATGCTTGAAAATCATCATTCTCTTTTCAAAATGTGTGCAGAATAAATCAAAATTTTAAATTCTCATTAAATCGAAATAAAACCCCAAATTTCAAGTGTATCTTTTTGGAGGAGCCATGTGGAGCCATGTGGAACCCCAAAATGGTCGCATCATGCCGTAAGTGCAGTAAAAAATCAATTTTGACAAAATGTGAAAAAATACACTCGGAAAGCCTTTGGAAAATGAATTGGGAATGGGTACCGAGATGTGTGATGCGAGGGGACCCCCCTTGAAAATCACTTGGGCGTGGGACTGGGAGGCGTGGCACGTGAACGGAACCGTTTGTGAAGAGGCAGCGGGAGACGTTGGAAAATGACTGACAATAAAATGTTGACGCAGCCAAAGAGCATTATGGATACAGGGTACTCTCAAGCGATTGGATTAAGTTGATAAGTCGGGACCGGGGATAATGGGGCCTGAGGTCCTGTATCCCGCCCCGAATACAACAATAACATTCAGAGTACCTGCTGGTGCTTGCTTTATTGAAGCCAGGTCCTTTCATACAGCCTAAGCTGATTGATGTTGAGAGCCCCTTCACTTCACACATCTGCATAAAATAAATCTTAATGTGCACAATGTTGGTTTTAAGTTTATGAAAAAAATTACAAATATAAAAGGTAGCAATTGGATACTCTAGCCTGAAGAGGAGGAAAACTAACAGGGAACATAAATTGATTTAAGAGAAGCTGGAGGGTTCTTAACGAACAAGAGATTTAAGATCGAGTATCTAGTATGACTAACTTGAATAATTTCTTTAAGCAATATATTAATTAAAATATTTAAAACAATGTTAAGCAAGTCCCATACATATGGTTTTAAAGTATACTTGTCAATCTATAATTTCCAATAATGTTAAAATACCATATAATTAAAGGGCAAGGGTTCCATCTTTTCCCAAGTAAATCAACACCAATCCACCACATTTCATCAAAAAATACTTTGATTGACAGCAGTTAAGTAGTCTCAGCCTTTGGTGTCAGGGGGTTTTCCACTCACAGAGTAACCTCAACTAGGGGAATCACAGCCAGAAAAGACAAACCAACATACATAGAAAGATTTTTGTACACGTAACAATATGTCACTGAATAAAGTGCAAACCCTGCGTTGCCTGCAATGCATGAAGGAGATCCAGTGCTCCCCCGTTGATCCTGGCCAAATGGTGCTCCACATCCAACAGGATCATCCCGAGGTCTTTGCAGTGGCCAAGGAGAAGATTAAAAATTTGCACACACTGATCGAGAAGGAGAACAGCCAGATGGATCTTTCGGAGACACAAATGGCCACGGCGGCAGTGAGAACTTGTAAGCGAGATCGAAGTCTTTGAAATATCCTTAGGTATTTATGATGTATGTATAGATTTAGCTAACAAGAAGAACAATCGGCATGTGTGCTCTCAACCCAGTCCCTGCTCCTGCTATGCAGACAAGGATAATGTGAGTCGCAAGCAGAGCTTCAAGGCATCCATTACGCACTGGGCCCCGGCGGAGGGTAACATCTTCTGTCCCAGCTGCGGCTTCAGCCAACGGCCGCTGATCAAGACCGCCTCGGAGATGACGGCCACCGGAGCTTTTGCCACCTGCATCTTCGCCTGCTGGCCCCTGTGCTGTCTGCCATTCCTGGAGAGCCGCGAGTATCTGTACTGCTCCAATTGTCGCGCTTTCCTGGGCATCTACGATCGGGAGAAGAACTGCGTGAAGCCCAGCAAGGAGTTTGTGTCCTCCAAAGGGACCTCAGATATGAAGACAAGCAAATGTGTTTAATTTTTTTATATCTATTTCATTTATCAAATTGTTCGTGTCAGCAAGTAAGTGTAACGCAAAAGGAGGAGAGCTTTCCCCGAAGCTTTGACCTAGTCAATACAGAAACCACTTGACTTGCCTCATTGGTGTACAGCTATTTGGGTTTGCTCTTGGGCCTTGCCCGCCTCCTTAGCCGCCTTCTCAGCCCTCTTTTTCTCCCTCTTGGCCAGGATCTTTTCCCGGGACTTTTGTGCCCTTTCGGCACAGTCCTTTGGGCGTGTCTTCAGGGTCATTTCATCCACGGCTGCCTGCTTACGGGCCGATCGGGAGAGGCATCGTTCCGTGCAGTTGATGGGCACAAATCTTCCAATAAAGCATCCGCAGTGTAGGCAATAATGATTGATGTCCCGACGACCAGGCCATTTTTTACTACGAAACATGTATTAATTACAGAATTAGTTCACTGTTGTTGTTTTGTTTACAAACCAAAGTTTGGTGAATCCCAGGAACCGCTGCAGACAGGTAACCACCTCTAGTTGCACCACACTCATCCCATATTTCTCGCAGGAAGGACACTGTAGCCAGGTGGAGTCCTGCTTGAGGTAACCCACCTGCTGCTTGTGACTGACACTAATGGCCACAATCTCCGGCTCGTCGACGGTCATGGCGATGTGAGTTCTTTGGAGAACCAGCAGCGACTGAAAACGAAATTGATTAAAATAATTTAAGAGAACGAAAAATCAGAGATCTCTCTCTCTCTCTCTGGCTCTTTGAAGATTCTCACATTTTCTCTAATTCTCTCAGAGGCGTTGGTCGGTTAATTAATTACTCTTGATTACAACATTTGAAACGATGCACGGAGAATTGATTCTCTTCTTATAAGGTTAATTATATATTATTGTAATTTTCTTATTATTTATTTTACTAATCTGTACAAGAAAATTAAATACTTTTTACTAAATATATAAAACTGGTTTTATTTATTATAGTAACAAGAAAAAGCTATCAATGTTCGTTAAATATTTTTTGCTCCGTGTGATGATCAATGATCATTAGTTTAGTGTGTAGATTGGATGACATCGTCACAGATATTCTACAGCTGTGGGCGACGGTACACTCCCAGGTATTCCCCACAGGCGCCACAGTGATGTCTCTTGGTGCAGCAACGCAGCCAGGAGCGCACCACCCGAGTGGTGGCCTTGGTGCGACAATAGGGACAGGTGATCTCATTAGGGCCAGGACCCACGGCAAAGTACAAAGGTCTGGGATCCTGAGCCATTTCAATGGACGGAGAAAAGCGGTGTTGACTGTTTCAAAAACAAATGAAGACTGAGGCCAACAGAAAAGAGAATCGAAATCTATAAAATACAAAACAAAAATAATAAAAATATGAGAAGAGAGAATCCCCAAGAGAAAGTAAGAGTACAGATGAGAGAATGTGATTCAGTGTCTGTATTATTTTGGTTTTATTTTCGTCTCATATAGTCTCGCAGTGGGTGGGTGTTTTCTTGCCTGTTCCTTTTTTTTGGAAAATATGTGAAAAATGTGAAAATTAGTCGGTGGTTGCCTTTAATTTCAGTGGTGCCCGCCGCTTCATAGAACGCCCAAAGTAGCAGCCGCAGTTTCCACAATAGTGACTCCTGTCCGTTTGCTTGCAGGGCACATAGTAGTTGAAGCAACAGCAGCAGCAACAGGTCCTGCAAAAGGACTTCCCGGTTGAGAGATTATTTTTAAGGATTAAATATTGTTAGATACCCACACAAAAAGGCAGCCCACAATGCGATTGATTTCACTGGCCCACCACTTGAGATCGTTCTGGACCACACTCAGATCCTTGATGCCGCAGGCGGGGCACTTGATCTCCACGGGTTCGCGGGGCAGATTGAGGAAGGTGCCCGCCAAAGGTGTGGCAAAGTTCTCGTAGATCTTACGCTCCCGCTGATCCTCCAGAGCCTTAGCAGCCCGTTCCCGGGCCTCCTGCTCCGTCTCCTTTTCTGTCGCCTTCTCCGGGAGCGTTGTTGTCATGGTTGCTCCGCAATTGAACTGAAAGCGAATTTCGACCAGACGAATGGACAACCTGTTTTGGATATTGAAAGAGAGCGGGCATACACTGAGAGGAAAATTCATTGGTTTTTAAAAAATTGGAAAATATCTCAGAAGACTCTTCTAACAAAGGACTCAAGTTATTAACATAACCAGACTTTCCTTACTTTAAATTCATTGGAAACTAATTAAACTTCACATATCTTCTATAAATATTATTCCAATTGTATTATATAAAATGAACCCTTATTGAATCAGTTATTTTCCGAGTGTTTCAAAAATTAAGAGCTGTTTAAGAGTGCAAAAGCAACAAAAGAGAGCAACAAGAGAATTGATTTACGGTGCGTCTTTAATTGAGTTAGATGCGTAATAGAATTATAGAACAGAAGTGAAATATTTGGCATTAATAAACATAATTTTAATTGATTCGATGAATGAACTATTTGGCCTTGCGCTGGATTCCAACTTTGCCGCCACATGAACTGCAGTAAATTCCCTTGGTGGTCCACTCCCGGTTGCAGCCACACCAGGTGCAGACGCAGCAGATCCAGAAGAGCGGGAAGATGCTGTAAACATTAGAGGATACCACATAGTAAAATCACAAATCTTCTTGAGGGATTCCCCCTACCAGGAAAGCAAACTCAGACACATGCTGGCGTCCTTGCAGCTGGCTGCCCTCATCACAGCCGCCTGACTTCGCTCCCGGCACAGGGGACACTGCAGCTTGTAGGTGGATGGTCCCACTGCATAGTAACGGAGTCGGGGCTGCTGGGAGGCACTGGTGGCAGCAGGAACAGCTGCCTCCTGGTGGACGAGGGTTACCTTCTCCGCCGCCTGCTCATCGATAAAGGGCACTTGGCCATCGTCTACCACCACATTGGCTATGATATTCCTGGAGCGCTCCTCCGCCGTCTGGGCGGGCACCAATCTCACCCGCAGTCTCTCCACCTGCTGATGCTGTTCCATGCTAACTGACTATCTGATCTCCGCCAGAACCGAGACCCAGCCGGTGTACATCGAAAGAGAGATGGGGGAGCCAATTTGGGAGAGTTCAGTTGCTAAGAGAAAGATTCCCAGAGAGACAGAGAGTGAGAACAATGGTATGCGTCTGTCGATGACCATGGAGCCCATGATGTCATCTATTCTGTGCGGTGGCCCCTCAACCAGAACCAGATCGACAGCCAAACATTCTGCGAATATTTGTTTATTCAATAAATGGAGCAGTTTGAAATGAAACACATCAACCACATGGGAAATGTTTCAAAATCTGGGATACTTCCTTCAAATTTTCAATATTTTTGAGACTCTGAAAATATAGAATTTATTTTATAAATCATTTCATTACAACCATATGGAATTCCCACTTGCTTATTAATAAATTTGTGCTTTAAAAATGATTATAAACTTTGATATTTCGCATCTTTTTAAGCTGTCTAATAAAACAGGTTTACTATCCAATAAAATTAAAAATTTATCAATTTAATTAATATTTAATAACATTTAATTTAGATGGCTTAATACTTTCCATGATCAGTGTATAGTTCTTATAAACCCATAACACGTTTGCCGGTCAATCAGCTGATAACTAGTTTTTGTTTATGTTTATGTTTGGTTTGGCTTTGTTTATATACTTTACGCTCACAATCTTGGGCTGAATTATATGGGAATAGAGCTTAAAGCTATATTACCGATCAATAACCCAAAAGTTATTTCTAAAGTTTGAGAAAATAAGGGAAAAAACTTTACTCTTTAATAGTTGGAAAGCTCACAAGTCAATATATAATACATACCTTATTGTTTATATAATTTAACAGTACTCATCAAAAATATTTCTTCCAGTCTTGATTATTTCAATACAGTTTTAGGAAAAAACATATTCGTAGATATTAACATATTTTAATTGTTTAAATAGAAAATCTGAAATATTAGTCAAATAATAACCATATATTTGCAGTTCGCTCTTAAATATATACAAGAAATTATAAATCGCAAAGAGGGAAAGTTATTATATTTTCTTTCCTACTTTCTTTTGGTCAAACGGACTTTCAGACCCTCCTTGGTCACCAAAACTGGAGCAGCATCAAAACGGAACTCCACCTCCTTGCGTGGAGCCTGAACCAAATCGAAATTGGCCAAGACCTTGGCCACAGCCACCTTGGAGTTGATCTTACCCATGCGGAGAGCTGATAAAATCAGGGTTTTGAATTAAATTTATATCTCGAATCGTTGTAGGAATTTCTAGACTTACCTATGCAGTGCCGGGGACCTTCTCCGAATGGCATATAGGCTGCCTGATCGTAGTTCATGTTATCCGCATCAAAGCGATGCGGATCATAGCCATTGGGATTGGGGAAATAGACTGGATCACGATGGATACCAAAGAGTGAGATCAGAATGGGTGTGCCCTTGGTAATGGTATGGTTAGTGCCGGGAACGGGATAGTCCTCAGTGCACTCGCGGTTCAGAAAGGGAAGACCAGGGTATTTACGAATGGTTTCTGTTGAAATAAAAATTCATAAACAATTAAAAAATTCAAATAAATTATAAATTTAAATTGATTTTGGCCCCACACACCCATTATGCAAAGATCCAAAAACTTCAAATCCTGCACAGCTTCGTAGGTGAACTTATCCTTGGGCTTTAGATTGTGCTTCTGGAGCACTGCATCCACCTCTTCCCGTGCCTCCTTCAGCAGCTCCGGATACATGGACAGCTCGTACAGGGTGAAGGCGGAAGCGGCAGCAGTGGACTCCGATCCAGCCACGTAGAAGAGGAAAGCCTGGGCGGCAATCTTCTCGATGGACATCGACTTGAGCTGCTCCTGGGCCGTCTCCATGTCCCACACTTGATCATCATCCTCGCCGATTTTTCCAGTGTTCCTCAGCCGAATGAGCAGCTGCAGCATGTCCTTGCGGACCACATTATGCTGCTCCCGGAATTCAATGGTGCGCTTCATCATGTCCCGCAGGGAAGTCAGTATCCGGCTCTCATAGCCCAGACGGTTCATAACCTTGGCAATGCTGCAAGAATATTGAATAAATTATTATAAATTGATATGGTAAATTTCACAATGTTTAATCGTTTTTAGAAATTCAATTTAAGAAACAAAGAAACTCGGTGTGTGGTTACAATAAAACTATAAACCCATATTACTATGTGTGTATGTAAATGATTATTTGTATATTTTAATGAAAGAAGTACTAAAAACAAAACAATGAATCAGTTTGTATACGATTTTCTTCTGGCTACAACGAAATATGAGCTCTTGAAATGCAAACTCATCTAAATTTAGATGCAGCCTTGGCACTTTAAGTGCATAAATATTTAAAAAAAAATAAAATAAATAAATGTGTTCAACTACAACTAATACTCACATGGGACATATAAACATGGACATATTGTGAATCTTGAGTAGCAGAGACTTGTCCCTACTTTCCGAGCTGCTTATTTCCCGAAACTCATTTTCCGGATTGCTGAAGCTATCGATCTCCAGTCCAAAAATCACCGAACCAATAATATCCACCGCATATGTGGTCATCACAGCCTTGATTTCCACCTCGTCGCTCTGGTCGAGGACACCCTCCAGATGCTTTACCAGCTTGTCGCCAACCTCGTCAATGGTACCGAACATGCCCTTGATTTTTCCCGAGGAAAACGATGGCGTCAACTTTTGGCGTAGATTTCGCCAGGAAACCCCTCGAAGGTTGAAGAGATTGGCGGACAACGGATCCTTCTCCTCATCCACGTAGACACCGCGATCGTGAAAGCTACCAAAGTCACTGGTCATAATCTGGCGCGCCAGCTGGGCATCACGGATGAGGATACTCCGCTGGTTCATCATATAAATTCCCACAATCTTTCCCTCGTGCCGGGCGTAGATATCACCCAAGGCCATGCCCAAGCTCCGTTCCTGTTTCATCACCGTATCCATTACCCCAAAGGGGATTACAGCCGGCTCCTCGTCCATGCCCAGTCGCTGCCAGTGGGTATAGTGACGCCTCACATACTGGTACAGCAAGACCAGGTACAGGATCAGCAGGAGGACAATGATCCACATTTTACACTTTTTCACACTTTTTATTTTCCTAAAATCGTGTAATTTAGTTGGAAGCGTGATCTTCTCCCCACAAACTGTACGATTCTACTGAAAGGGGCTCGGTTCCTATGGGTCCCAAGACCCTCCCGATAAGCAATACGAAAGCAAACGGCGATTCCAATGCATTGCTTTGTTTTTGGCAATATATTTGCTCTCTTCCAGAGGAAAACGAACTGGAAAAAGCTTTTAGCTCTTTGGCAGGGAACAGGGCAAAAAAAAAGAGAGGAGAAACCACCTGTTGATCGGAGAAACTGCATACATATTTCTTTTAAGTCACATACTTCTCTGGGTAAGAGGTGATAAGTAAGAGTAAAGAATTATTTGTTAATCCAGAAAGACACAAATTTGTTATAATAAATTCCCAGGAAATTAAACATCATACTCTGTGGAAATATGGCTTAAATAACTTTTCGTTTAATTTATATATTAATTCTCATTAGCCAACTTTGATTCCAGAGCCTTACGTTGCTTGCCCAGCTTCTTCTCGTCTAGTTGCTCTTTTTCTACCTTCCGGAATCTTTGCCAGCGTCCATTGTCCTCCACTTCACCGCTTTGGAGGCGGAACAGAGTCCGCTTGTACCAACTGAGGGTGATGTTGCGTCCTATGAAGCAGCCACAAGAGCTGCAATAATGATTGACATCATGTCTTCCACGCCAGCGAATGGGATTGCTATTGGAAATGGATATATGGTAGAAAAGTTATTTCAGATGGAGTACGAGCTTTGGTATGGAGATAAAGTTAAGGTCAGAACAATATCATATAATATCATATATTAATATCTGTAAATATAAACAATTTTAATTGTAGGTTTTACTTGCAGAAAAAACTAAACTTTGAACAATTCTATTGGGTTCTATAAAATCAAAAGGTTATTTTTATATTCAATGGTTATATGTACCTGTACAAATTTCTTTCAATAAATGTCAAACAATTAAGAAACAATAATATTTCACAGTAAAAATTTATTACAAACTAAATCGAAACCATCAAAATAGTCTCATAAAGTTAAAAGACCATCCATTGATTTATGACCAAAACAACTATGAAGCATTAATGATCTCAATAACATTTTATAGTAAATAAAATTATATAAGACACTATTAACCCTGCACATGAAATACAACAATTTAAATTTCAATTTAAAGAATTCAAACATTATATATCTGTTCATCATCATTCTGACCTCACTTTTATAAGAAAACCCACCAGCAGAGAAGCACATTTAGGGTGCAGGCAATCTTCTGTAGAACGGTGACCGCCTCCAATTCCACGCGTGTGGTTTGGAGCTCCTGGCAGGCGGGACACTCCAGCTCCTGGGGCTCGGTGCTCAGGTGACCCACCTGGGGCACTTGCGAGATGTCGCCCTCGAAGGCACTACCGTCCAGACTCTCGGTGCTGGCCATAGCGCGGTGAGAAGGTAACTGAATCGAGAGCCCCCGAAAAATGTATCTGTATCTGCATTTGTATCTACATCGAAATGCGTGCTAAGAGCGAGCCAGAGAGTGGGAGCGATTGCTATAATTCTTTGGAGGCACCGCCTAACTGCCGGACCAAGTGATGATCGAATAATAAATTCAAGTGTGCGCTAACTTATTAAAAAAATTTGACAACAGCTGCTGGTTTATTTATAGATCGTTAGAGAGCCACTACTAAATGGAAGTCCGACTAAGTGGGACGCCAGTGGAAGCCCAAGTGGCCACCGCATCTGCTGCAGAAAACCCGCTTTGTCTTCAGGCGACTCTGGAGGCAGGAGTACACAAAGGTCAGGGCAAATATGGGGAAGCAGCTATCAAAATTAAATAAATGATGAATATAACAAGGTAATAAAATACATCTAGAATCCTTACCAGGATAAGGCTGAGAGAACACAACTGAGCTGACCTAGGGCTCCGGTCATTTCCACAGTCTCCGTTTTGCTATTCTGTTGGCACAGAGGACACCTCACCTGGTAGCTACTCGGTCCAATGCTAAAAAATCGCACTTGTGGCTTCCGAGGACCTTCCTCCAGCGTGGCCGTAGTGGCCGCCGAATTGGTGTCCCCCACACCATGGAGATCCACCTCCAAATCCGCATCCAAGTCGTTCCCACGAGACATTGCGACTGGCCCAGTGAAACACTTTTTTTTGGCAAATCCCCTCGACACTTCAATCGCAAATTAAGAGAAATGTTTTTTGATCGAAAGAGAAAAACACGGAGAGAGTGAGTGCTAAAAATCAACAATTCTGTTTTCGTTTTTTTGGCCTCGGCTCTTCAGTCTCATCATCTTACTCGCCGCAAGGTCAACAACAACAAAAAAATACTTAAAAACTAAACAAAACAAATAATTAAATGCGGAGCACCCACTCCAGTTGCCATTCCCCAGTTCCCTCCTCCTCGTCACTGTCTTTTCCATGCCCCCAAGAGGTAGCCACATTTGCCACAAATGACCCTGCAATCGTTGTTCGTGCGTCTCGGACAGCAGGGATATATGGGCAGCATGGCAAAGCAACTGGAAATTAAAATGAAAATTTAATTATGTTATTTAACAAAATAATATTGTTAAAAGAAGAAAGAACTGAGGAAAACTATAATTAAATTAGGGTATTTCTCATATTCCTGAAGGCGGGACCGTCTCAATTCGAAAGTCACATTTAATTTATTACAAACAAAAAAAAAGGTTAGGAAATTTAAATGTAATTAACCCCCCTGTGAGGTTATTTGCATCTTTGTAATCACACTATTTTGAACTTAAATCAAGCAATTTGAAATGAAATTCCCTAAGAAATTCCTCACATCTTTCCCCACTCATTGCCACACTCACCACATGGTCAGCAGTCGCTCCAGGCGGACTCCCTGCTCATGCAACCGCTCATTGCACTCCGGGCAGTACATCTGTCGCAGGCAGCTGATGTTGGTGGCCGCCGGCGGCGGTGGCGATACCTTCTCCGCCAGTTGTCCCGTAGAGTTGCTCTTCCGGCAGAAGTATGTGTCCGGCTCAGAGTCCTCCGCATAGCCATAGGGATAGCCTCGGTGTGGGGGTGTGGCCAGGAGCAGCTGATCCAAGGCCTGCGCTGAGGATGATGGCTTGGTTTGGCCGCAACTGGGATTCAGATTGATCTCCACCAGATCCGTAGAAAACTCCTCCTCTACCTGAGGTGCTTGCAGGTGGAACTTTAGCTGCCGGCTCATGTTATCGAACTGACGCGACTCGGTATTTCTATTTGCCTATAAATTGGGTTATTTTTTTGTTTTACAATTGAAACATTGAAAATATCAAAAAAGTGGCAGTTGTGGCACTGTTGGGGGAGCAGGGGGCATTGGCCAAACCAGTTGTTCATCTGTTTTGTCAAGCCCCCGCCGAAGTATGTATTTGCCATGCCAGTATTTGCCTAACACTATTTTCATGGCTGCGAAGTTAACGGCTGCACTTGAACGGCAAGTCAATGCTAAAAGCTTCTGGTAAAGCTGCCAACAAGTGGGTGGCAAATCGAGCTTTTAGCCATAAAAAGCAACAGTTAAAATATAGTTAGCTTAACCCATTGAGAACCAGGAAGTTGTAAAGGTAGTTGCTACCCTTGTACGGTATAATAATTTTGGTAATGAGCTTGAAGAATTCAATTCCGACCAGATATATATTCAATATATTCAAAAGCCGAGTCCCATCTAGATATGTCCGGCAGAAAAATAAAATATTAATAATAAATATAATAATAATTAAAAATAACAATGGAAAGTTTACCGAATTAAAATGAATGCATTTTTGGCTTAGTTATGAAGGTTTACAAATTGCAAGAGTAAACGTCTTACGCTATAAGGTTTTTCTGATATATAAGTTTATGATTGCTTAGTTCAGTTAAGATAAATAAAGTAATGCATAAATTGTACCATTCTCTAGTTTCTAGAACATTAAGTGTAAACGTAAATTAACTATGTACGTACACGTAATTATACTACGTATACGTAATGTTATGTACGTATACGTAATTTCATTTAAAAAGCAACTCATTGCATTGCTTATAAGAACAAATGTTAACTTAATATTATAAATTAACTATGATCAGTAAGTATCTATGAACAGTAATTATGATCATTAATTGACTATAATCAGTAAGTATCATTGACCAGTAAGTAACTATTATCAGTACGTATCAATGCACATTAGGTAACTATGATCAGAAAATAGCTATGATCACAAAATAACTTTGATCAGTAATTAACTTTGATCAGTAATTAACTTCGATCAGTAATTAACTATGAGCAGTAAGTAACTATGATCAGTAAGTATCTATGACCAGTAAGTATATATAACTAGCAAGTATGTATGATCAGTTACTAACTTGGAACACTAGTAAACAATGACTTGCAACTTTTGTAACACAACACATATCTAAGACTAGGCCGGGAGCAATCACTTCGTTCCGGGGATGTTAGAAGCAGTTGGGAATCATAAGATGTGCGATACTTATTTTGGAACAAATTTAAGAGCAAGCTTTTTGAATGAAACTATAGAGATATTCTATAATATAACTTTACTCGTGTAGAAGTCGGACAATGGCCAGATCGACTCAGCTGTTCATGTTGATCAAGAATATATATTTTTTGTAGGGTTGGAAATGAGTCCTTCATAGAGACAAGCTTCTGACTAAAATTAGAATACCCGGCCATAGTATACAAATTCTAGGTGTTTGGAAAGTATGTAAACCCCGTTTTTTTATTTCGATTTTTATTTTCTTCGAGGAACTTCATTAAGTTAAAGCCTCACAGTCTGAAATCGATGAGGTGTTGAACTCACAGTTATTACTATACTATTTTTACAAACCAAACTAAAATTAAATACTAAACGTGCACTGAAAATATAATGAGTGGTTATAAATAAACTAATATATAAATTGTACCAATATCCAGTTTTTAGAACATTAACTGTAAAAGTAGTTTAACTACGTATACGTAATTTTACTACCTATACGTAATTTTACTACGTATACGTAATGTTATGTACGTATACGTAATTTCTTTTTAAAAGCAACTCATTGCATTGCTTTTAAGAACATATATTAAATAAATATTTAAAATGTAGGTTGAAGAAATGGCATTGCGATGCTAAAACCGGTACAGATTTATATCCCAGCCGGTTACGCACCTGTTGCAAAGATTAAAGTACAATAAGTATTCAGATGAGAGCGCGAGAGCAATAACCTATGGATATATATACATATACTCTTTACCCTTTGTTAATTCTCCAAAACAAATAAACCGAAGTAATTCAATTTTTCAATTTCAATTTCAATTTCAATTTCAATTTTTCAAAACATGCCAAGTTGTCACAGCAAACTAGCGCTTAATCATCAGGTATCAGTCGAGTGAGTCATCCATCTAGCGTTTAGAGGAACATCGACGGAATTCAGTAAATCAAGTGCACAATACAGAAGATATCCGTTTATGAGTTAGACCGAAAATCCCCCTATGTGGAGGAGCTAACACAGAGCCGCGATAAGATAGCAATCCGAATGTTTAGGTATTGCGGGAGCTCCAGTTCCAGTTCTCTCCTCAGTGCAGCGCCAGCCTTTGAAGCGATCGGTTCAGTTCGTTCGGAAATTTCCAGAGTCCAGACAAAGAGAGACATATAATTATGGACAGCAAGCAGCCTCCGCCGTACAGTGAGCAGCCCGGATTCACGCCTGCCCAGACCTATCAGCCGGGTGGACCCACCCAGCCGCCGATGTATCCACCGATGCCGCAGCCGCCACAGCCCTCCACGGTGATCATTCAGACCACAACCACCTCCAACCTGGTGCCCATCGGTAATGGTCCAACCCGCATCCGTTGTCCCTCCTGCCATGCCGAAGTCCTGACCACCGTTAAGAGCACACCTTCCGGCCGGACTCACTGCTGGGCCCTCATCCTGTGTCTGTTCATGTAAGTAAACAATGTCATTTGATCTCAGAGTTCTTCTTCACTTGCCAAATGTACATAAAGACAGGTGGGACGTAGCTGGAGAAAATTAAAAGGGGGAATATTCTAAATCATTCTTAAACTTTTATTTACAAGAAAATGTCTGAGAAGATTTAAATATTCATATATTAGGAAATTCTCTTTAAATTTAAAACTATAACAATTGGATATTTGATTTCTATGCATTTTTCATAGTTTTATTTGATTGAAACATCATCATCTTGCTTCTGGTAAGGTCTTTGAAAATATTCCTATAGCAAAATCAATTATCTTTATACTCTGATTCAAATTTATTTTGTATTTAATGAATGCTTGCATAATCAAATTTATAATATTTATATGATATATAGATACTTAAAAGATAGGAATATAGATAATCAACTATATCAAAGCAAAGTATGATTGTATGAACTATAGCCACCACAAAATTTTACAACTTCCCATTAGCCGCGGCCTTATGTCTGAGTAGACACATTATTGCTTTAAAATAGCAATTTCTACGCCCATGGCGAACACTTGCGACACCTTATCGCGAGTACAAAAGGTTTCTATATACTAGAAAACATTGTTATCGCAACTGGAAATGGAGTTGAGTCAGATAGCGTGGCACTGATGGGGCCGGGCTAAAAACAACTGAATGCGACTGAAACGGTTGCTCGGGGGCCTTGTATTGTCCCAATAGGAATTAGTGTGGCAATTAGGAGAGGCCTCTGGCTAACAAACTAATTAAATAACAATCCCCCGAACCCATCTAATCAATCTCTATTTCAATCTCTCTACATTTTAGCTGCTGGCCTTGCGTTTGCTTGCCTTACTGCATGGACTCTTGCCAGAATGCCAACCACTACTGTCCCAACTGCAGTGCCTACATTGGCACCTACGAGAACTAAAATCTAATCTATAGGAGATCCCCTTAACAATTAACCATGCCATATTTCAACGACAAAACTGTAAAACTGTAAATATATTCTTTTATAATCACACACATTAAACATGAGATTCAAACAGGAGAGCGGAAATGCGAATGTTTAACTTGGTCTGCTTACCTAACTTAATTACAGTGGCAGCTTAATCACTCGGATTGGTCATAAAGCAACCACAACACACATATGCCAGCTTCTGATTAGGTGCAAGTTAATATCTTGCAGAAAAAATTCTAGGAAGGCGTTTAGCCATAGCCAATTGTTGCTTGGTGATAATTGCAACTATTTCCGTACGTGGATTATTGTATTGTGGCTTAAAATTCAATATTGATAATGGCGATAAAGATATACACAATTATTGATTATTACCTCACTAAGTATTTTAAAATGTTTCGGTTAGAGCGAGAACTTGTACTTGCCCGGCTATAAATTCTGATTGAATCTTAAACAGTTTATTTTATAGAATCTACAATTTAATAATTTACTAAAAATAATGTCATGAATTTAAAGTCATTCCATTAGCCATTAAATTGTGTAAAATACCTTCAGGTTTTAAATATTTTATACTTTATTAGGGGGTCTATTAGCAATTCTAAGAAAGGTCAATGCCATAGAACTAACATTTCAGAACTTAACAGATTATTTTATGACTTAAACACCATAAACCACTCACAAAAGTGTTAAAACTGCTATTACCTAATTAGCAATCTGAAAAGCTAACTACGGAAAACCGAAGTTTGTATTTTCTTTCAGTTAGTCATATATCAAGGATTCGAGTGTTCAATCGATCATAAATAAGCCAAAAATTAATTAATCTCAATGTTTTCATCTTTATAAACTATGATAAGTAATTAACTATGAGCAGTAAGTAACTATGATCAGTAAGTATCTATGACCAGTAAGTATCTATAACTAGCAAGTATGTATGATCAGTTACTAACTTTGAACACTAATAAACAATGACTTGCAAATTTTGTAACACAACATATTTCTGAGACTTGGCCGGCAGAAGTCACTTCGTTCCGGTGGTGTTAGAACCAGTTGGGAATCATATGAACAGATGTGCGAGACTTGTTTATGGATTAAATTAAAGCTATTTGAATAAAATTATGGAGTTATTCGTCTATATAATTTTACTACAATATATTGTAACTTTTCGAGTTTTCAACAGATTTTCTTTAAATTTAATATATAGCCATTATATGTTTATCTAGAATTTTGTGTACAATTCTATGAAAATCGGAAAACTATAGCAACAATGATCGTTTAAAGCAGAGGAAAATATAAAATGGTGAATGAAATGCATTACATAATTGTTTTTTAACATAAATATATAAAATAATAATATAACATATATAAATTTTGTATATATACTAACTAACTGTACTGATTAAAATTAGAATTTCTACGTATTTGGAAATTATGTAAACCCCATTTTCTAATTTCGATTTTTATTTTCTCCGAGGAACTTCATTAAGTTAAAGCCTCACAGTCTGAAATCGATTAGGTGTTGAACTCACAGTTATTAAGATACTATTTTTAGAAACCAAACTAAAATGAAATACTAAACGTGCACTGAAAATATAATGGGTGGTTGTTTAAGAGAAAATAAATTACGAAATTAGTTAGGCAAGGATTATATTGTATATATTTTATTTCTGCTTAAGTTTTTTTTATGCCCACTGTTTGGGAAATCCATTTAATCTGAATTATTCTATGGTTACCGATTAAAGTGTACCAAGTCATAGGAAAGAGTGCCAATCGATAAGGTGGTGCAACTCCCTTTACACCTCGCACTCACCTCTGTTATTAGGGTTTGAAATGTTTTCATATAAAAAAAAACGAACCTGTCGATTAGTCAGAAATAAGATAACGAGTTGCGATAGAGTGGCATTGTCATTAAGTGGACGCCGATTTCAGTGCCTGTCCCGCCACAAACATGAACACCACATGGGTGGGCACTGCTCCGAGTACGGACCCGGAACCGTCGCCGTCTGCGGACTCCGGCGTGGTGGTGACCCAGATACCTGTTTACACCCTTAACGGAGTGGGGCCGGGGGCAATACCCTTGACAGTTGGCTGGCAGAAGATGCGGGTACGTTGCCCGTCCTGCAAGGGCGAGGTGGTCACTAGTCTGCTGACCTCGCCCACCCGGAAGACCCACCTGTGCGCCCTGACCTTGTATATCTGCTGGTGAGTCGTGTGTGGGAGTTGGGACATAACTGGATAGTATATATAAAGGATCTTCTCCATCAGCTGCTGGCCTTTTATATGTCTGCCGTACTTCTTCAATTACTGCAAGAATGTCCAGCACTATTGTCCCAATTGTGGGTGTCACATAGGATCTTACACCATTTGAGTAAAGTCTAAACACTGCCAGGAAGTTAATTACCCAGGAAGCTCGAAGAAAGGATCTTGTGAAAGGGGCCAGACTTATTAAAAATTATGTTCCCAATTTTTTAAAATATATACAAAATAAATTAATTTATTGAATTACTTTTTTTTAGATTCTAGCAATTTTTTTTTTTTAGAAAAACCAGCTGTTATTTAAATTTTCCAACGGGTTCAAGTTTAAATTTTTTTGTCAACAATGTAATCTATTCAGCGATTACTTATCGATAAGTGCAAGCTCACGCGATCGTATGGTCGTCTCTCTTCAATGCGCAGCAAAGCAACGCTTTCGAAGTTTTTTTTTTTTTTGTATTTGTGAAGCACATGCATTTTGGCGTCGGAGCTTTCTACCTTTGTGTTGCCAATCCATTCGCTTCTGTATTCGCAACGAAAGCGGTTCTGGTATCATTGACTCAGAGCCCAAACGCCGGGATTCGAAGAATTATAGATAACGCGACAATGGATTACAAACGAGTGGACTCTCCGCCGGGTTATACGGATGACATGGCCACAGCACCGCCACACGAGATGGAAAACTCGCAACAGCAGCACCTTTATCCTCAAATGCCGATGCCTCAAATGATGCAAATTGTGCCGGCTCCAGCTCCGGCTCCGCCGCCAGTGAGCGTGGTACATCATCAGACCACTGTTCTGGTAGACTCTGGCCAGGGAATGATCTGTCCCCACTGCAATGCCCGGATTCGTGTGCGCGCGGAGCACCATCCCACTGGCAAGACTTACTGCCTGGCAGCTATCCTCTGTCTCTTTCTGTGAGTAATACAAAACTAACATATACATACATACATACATATATGTACTATATAGTTGCGGTCAATATAATAGCACCTGAACACCGCTTTTGTCACCTTTAGTCAGACATATTTGGGGTACGGCAATTTGCGGTTGATTGAGCATGCATACAGTGAGCCATAAAATAATTCAATTTAACAAGTAAAAACTAAGCTTTTAAATTGAGCCACTGTAAATACGTTTTTCCATACTGTTTATTATTAGTATTAAGTTTGATCTTATATGATCACCAAAAGAAACTGTCCACTCAACTTTTTTACAATCAAGTGCTGATAATTAAATATGTGCAGTTACGACTGTTTCTGTTATCTAAGCTCTATAAGGGACCCTTCCTAAACCACATTAGTCATAAATAATTTAAAAACACAATGAGCTTTTAATATGTGTGTAAGTATACTTGAATCAATGAATTTTATTGTATGAAATGTAAACAAATGCAGAACTTAACTGTATGTATATGTACATATGTATGATGTATGTCAATTTCTTGGAATATGGGCCATCGATCGTTCCTGGTATACAATACATTAAATGTTTCCCTTTTACTTCAATCTTCTAGCTGCTGGCCCTGCGTTTGCGTTCCATGTTGCTGCAACTGCTGCTACAAGAATTCGCAATTCTGCCCCAACTGCAATGCCCGTTTGGGATCGTTTTGAAGACGTCAGCGAAAAATAATCGCCAAATTCATCTAGACACAAAGTCGACTACATATTCATACGAATATCCTCAAATACATTTGTATGTAGATACATACAAACATATATTTATCATATTTGCTGGAGCACTTAATATCCATAAGCATTATAATCATAAAATGAAGACTTTACCATATTAACTCGTACATATGTATAATACAAAACCAAATCATCTTAATAATTCCATTCTCTTCTGTATGCAAAGAAACCTGTACACAAAATGAATAAAGTTTTCTTAAGGGAATGATTTCTCGTAATTAGTTAGAAATTGATATCTTGGAAAAAATTCTTGGGAGGTTCTATGACATTCAGTTAGTCATAGCCAATTGTAGGTATTTCCGTACCTGCATTTTACAGCTTAATATTAGAGGTTTATAGTGAATGTAGGTACATATGTATATAGAAATATTGATTCCTAATAACAAAAATTACAGGAAGTTTACGTCATTAAATTTCCCATGAAATTGTGTTAGATATGCACACATAAAATTTAAACAGTTATTTTAGAATTTTGTATATAAAAAATGTAATACAATACGAAATCATCTAAATGCATAAGAAACTATTAACCAAATTAACAAATAAAGCTTTCTCGAGCGAAGCTTTTAGCGGGGATTCCCAATTTTTTTTTTTGTTGATATTTGTTTGTTCGCATCTGGCATACGTGTGTGTATATATGGGAATAATTTGCTTAATACCCTTGTTTTAATTTAGAAAAATTAGTAATAAAACAAAAGATAAAGAAAACCCAGAGAACCACATACTCTATGTATTATTAATGTTTGAGGCAAACGGTATGAAAATAATATGGCATCATAAATAATTTAAGAAAATAATAATAATGTTTTTTGACTTGGAGAAACTACAGAATTTTGTTCAAACATTCCCGGTCAAAAACCTTCAAATACGAAGGGAGCGGCTTGGCATCCCCCATCCGATAGTTCTTTGCAATTTCTGGACAAATTCTCCACAAATCCAAAAGGGGCATCACTACTGTAAAGTACTCAACTGATAATTTTTAAACATTTTTTGTACTGAGCTTTCAACAATCGTGCTGGCAAAGCATAAGCTTCTGTATACTCGACATAAGCGGAGCTGTTGATTTCGGTCCCGGAATTCAAAGATAAGCGCCAACACTAGGATGGATTACAAACAATTGAATTCTCCTCCGCCTGCTTATCCAGGCACAGCCCCACCGCACGATATGTTCCAATATCAGCCGCAGGGGCAACATAACGGGTATCAGCCAATGCACATGATGACTCCGACTCCAACTCCTGGTCCAGGTCCTGCTCTAGGTCCTGCTCCAGCTCCAGCTCCAGCTCCGGCTCCGGTGCACATGATACAGACAAGTGTTGTTGTGAACGCATCCAGCAGCGGGACACATTGTCCACGCTGCAATGCCCAGATACGCGTCTTGGTGAAATACCATCCCTCTTGGAAAACTTACTGTTTTTCAGCGCTCCTCTTTCTGGTTGGGTAAGTAAGATAAAAAGCTTCAAATAAACCCAGTTCTCTATAATTATCAAAAGCGGACTATATTTGCATTTACTCTGAAGATGTTGCTGTTTTCAACTCAAGTTTCTAGCAATAAAATGTTGATAATAAAACCAAGCTCGAATTGAGAAATATATATTAAACCAAATGAGTCATAAATGTCTTATATACATCATCTTATATACTACATCCATACATACTAAATGATTTTTGACTAACAATATATTAATTTTTCCTTTGCTAAATCTTATTCGTATGTAGGTGCTGGCCCTGTGTTTGCATTCCATGCTGTGCCAACTCCTGTTATAAGACCTCACAGATTTGCCCCAGGTGCAAATTATGCTTGGCTTCCTATTAAAAATCTCGCCAAAAAACGTTCCAAACTGATTAATACTCTAAATATCTATTTTCAATATTCTCAATTGATAACTATATACTTTAATGTACGTACGTTAATGATTTTGCTTTTTATACGACGCTGTAAACAAGATAAACAAATAAAGTTTTTTTAAACCTAATTAAGGGGATCCCATTCTTGTTTTGATTTTAATTTTGACAGACTAATTTTAACCTTTGTGTTTTTATATTTTATATGATTCATATGGCTCTTCTTGATGTTTTTACAACATTGCCACAGAGTATACTTAATAAGTAAACCTTTAAATATAATTCAAATTTTGTTTATTTTTAATTTTTTTCAAAAATGATGAAAAAGCTATCGATGTACAACTGTACCATCGATACTATCTTGCTTGCTACCGATCCTTTACCGAAAATACCTGGTGCCCGGTAAATAATACTCTATTTATTCTCTTCCATCCGCCAGTGCTCCAAGCTGCTAAAGCCAATTGGAAGTTTTGACTATCAAAAAATCCTAAGCATTTTGAGATTTGGTTACTTTTTATTTACAATTTTCGCTCTCCTCTTTTTACTCTTATCAAAGGGTAAGTTTAATTACAATTCATTAAGTATATTTTTAATTGTCAGGGGAACCATAAAAACTTTAAGAAACCGTCGGCATCCAAAGGCAACTTTAGGATGCCCTTATATTGCGTTCATTATAATGTTCATTAGCACTTTTTTTTATCAACAACAAAAAATTAAATGCAAATTACAATTACAAATGACTATAAAATATTATTTCATAAATACATTTTAAGCCAAACCCATTAAAAGCACATTAACTTTCAACGCCGAGATTTGGTTGGCTGTTTTGTGACTTATGGCTTACATTTGTTATAGTCATGCTTTCCATAGCAGAGGTTGTTCTGATCATTTGCCTCTCCTGGAAGGTTGTGAGTAATCAGTATCTTATATACATATATTTTATTAAAAACTAATACATTTTATACTATTATAAAAGGTCTGTGAACCCTCTATTGTGTACAAAATGAAGAATATCGAATGCATAACAAGTCCGGCCTATTCGGCCAACGCTTCTTGCTGTATAAAGGCTATTAACTGGAACAAGGCAGTGGCCCAAATGGATGTGGATCTTGTAAGGCCACTACATAATATATCAGTAAGCTAATATGAAATAAGTTAATACGGATTATTTTAAGCTAAATTTATATCAGGTTCGACTTCAGGTCTTCAAAAAGGACTACTCCAATCAGTTTCAGCCCTTTCTTATCGATGTGAATATAAATCTATGCGACATACTATCAAGACGAAACTTTCTCCCGTATGGATTAATAATTTTGAAAATAACCCAGCGATTTTCAAACTTCAATCATTCCTGTCCTTTTGCTGGTCACCTAATGGCTCGCGACGCCTACATTGACGAGTCCATTATGCCGATCACTCCGCCATTAGGATTCTACAAAATGAATATCACTATAATGGAAAACTATCAGAATACGGCTGCTGCACATGTAGGTGGCATTATATGGTATTCACAGGTTATGCTGCCAGTCAAGAAAAAGATAAAACGTACAGGCAGAGCCTAAGATTCTAAGCGATTTATATTGCTATATGGAAAATTAACATAATTAAACTAAATGGAAATTTAAAAGCAGTTATAATACAACCTTCAAATCCTCCTACTAATGAATACTTGATCCTTAAGTTACTGCATACTTTCAGGTGTTTTGCAATATTATTACTGAATCCTTGAAGAAATTATCCGTATCACCAACATTATATTTACTCAGCTCTTTCAATAGAGTGGCAAATGGTGTGACATAATCTAAGGAGACCTCCTGAAGGAGTATACAAACATATTCCCCGAGAACGAGTTATATCAATGCTCTGGATCGCTGACTCTGGACTTCAGTTCAGCCCCTTTTGTTGCTAGCAACATTGATGCAGCAACATTCAGAATTATTCGAAAGAAAATTGCCATTCATCGTTCGGCTGGAATTTGTCGGGTGAAAACCGTGGTCCGCAAAACACATTCGTTGCCCCAACAGTGCGCAACAAGTTCTGTAAACTCTCCGGAAATCGGCAGCTTCGGTTTTCTGTTCGAACAACGACGCAGTGCATACGAGTACGTGAGTGAATGAGTGCGTCAGTGTGCGCCGGACCGGAATTTATAAATGCAGACAGCGTACAGTTGGCCGCGATATAAGCATCCATTCAAATTTAATGTGAAGTTCAATCCCAGTTCCATATTTCGCGATATGTATATAGAGAGAGGGGAAGCACATAGGACAACGCCTTGAAGAAGATTACCACTCGTTGGCATATAACTCTATTTTCGGGGGGTAAACGGGTCCAAGGCACGCACAGCAGCGGGCAGGTGGACTCCTAAAGGGGACAGGATTAATCACTGGCGCCGGACACACCCTTAGCCTTATGATGATACTATGCCGGGGTCCGGCCAAGTGTGAATATAAATAGATTGTGTTGATTTTGGGCAGGGTCTTGCGGCTGGAATTGTATACAAATTGGCCAAGTGCTCGTGCCGAGAGATGATGGATGGAACAGGAGGTCAGGGGGGATGAGTCCAGGATGACGACATCGACATTCGGAATTCGACATTCCACTTGCCACATTGCGGCACTCCGTACTTCGGTTTCTGTCTCTCTGCCGGATGACATCACACATTTCTCTTGGATTTGAACAGGGGAAGGGAACAGTGAAATGTATTGTACTGTTCATGGCTAGTTCTGCTTGTTCTGGGGGAGATAAGACCTGATAATAGCCCTGGTGCATGGCAATTATATACTCCCGAATGCACAACCAATTTATTGCTCACTTCATTAATTTCCAAACTGCACGCGAAGTGTGCAAGGTCGCCCTTTAGCTCCCCGATCTATATGCAAGTTATTATATTTTTCTATTTTCTCTGCCAGTAAACAACATGTCCACCCAAGTTGGTCCCGAACCCTGCAATCTGGTGTGCCCAAGCTGCCGCCAGCAGGTCACCACCCGGCTAGAGCCAAAGGCCACCACCAAGACGCATCTGATAGCACTGATCATGTGCCTTACCTGGTTAGTTATTTGGATCACTTTTTTATTCTACAATTTAATTATATTCAAATATATCTTCCTGATAGCCTGTGGCCCTGTGCCTGCTGCCTGTACTGCACTCAGTGCGCCAGGAACACCAACCACTACTGCCCCTCGTGCAACAACTTTGTGGGCACCTATGAGCGCTAGACAGGATCTTCCGCTCAACCGGAAATGAATGCATTTGCCTAGCTTTAGCAGCCATGATGAAATGCAAGACGACACTTCATACTAATTCCGTAGTTACCTCTCTCTCCCCAAAACACACACAATTAATCTTACGCAATATTTTGATGTCAGGCAAAACATTGTTGTACCATTTTAGGTTCTTGTAATCCCAGCACAAAAATAAAATAAAAAAGATTCAAGGAAGAAAAACAATGGATATTATTATGGGAGGATTTCTGTGGAAATGTTTTTCAGATTGAATGAAACAAGGTCTTTATAAAAGGTTTATAAAACATTATCGAAAGCTAACATTAAAAGGAAATGTAGTCTATTAATTAATTAATTTTTTTAAATTAATAATTTACAAATGGATTAAGTTTTTAGGAATATTTAAGACTAAGTGAAAATAATAATAGTTCCAATTTTTAAATTCTTGTTTATGTGTAAATTAGAATTTTGTTAAAAAAAAATCTGTTATCTTGCTTTGACTCTGCATCTTCTAAAAATAAATGTATTATACTCTACCCAATTCCATTAAATCCTCCCACTTATTATGAATACATAATCCATTAAGGCCATCCCGAACATCATTACATTAAGTAAATGTAAGTGCAGCTTAATAGCTAAAAGTTAGTTGAAATGTGAGGCTATTATTTTCAGACAGCCGCCTCTAAGTCGCGTCGGTCTATAAAGGGACATCCAAAGTTTCCCCAGGTTATATCTCGAAATGGACATGGATCTAAAGGGCAAAGAATTTCGCTATCTAGCAGCTCCGGAAGTGACTAATTCCCCTACAGTTCCATCGAATTCTGTAGTGATTATTGCTCCAAATGGTAAATATGAATATCGAAAAATAATTGTAATACTCTACTTTAAATATTCTGTACTTTTCAGTTAGCAATCTTAATCAACTGGGGCCTGTGTCCCAGCTTATGAAGTGTCCTTGCTGTGACAGGATGATGGAATCCCGTTTGGAAAAGCGCGTGACCAAGCAAACACATCTTTTCGCCCTTGCTCTTGCACTAACAGGGTGAGTTTTAATACCCTTTCAGGGTATTTTAATTTTAGTCAGCAGATTGTAACACTATGAAGGAATCATTTCCGATTGATCAGAATCGAAAGCTGAATTGATCTAGCTACTTCAGAAGGAAAAATAATTTGTATCAATTTTTTCAAAATTTTATAAGGTGTTAATTACTACATTTATTAAAAATTTCCAAAAATTGTAATGTTGTTAATTTTTTAATTAAGTAAGCAGATTTAATAACCTAGCAAAAGCTAACATTGGACAGCAATCCGAATTAAAATGAATATATTTTTGACTTAGTTATAAAACTTTGCAAATCGCAAAATATACAAATATCAAACAAGCTAAAATTAATAAAATATATATTTATTATTAGTTAGTTGAGTTAATATCAATAAAATAATACACAAAATTTTACCAATGTATAGTTTTTTAGCACTTTAACTATGAACGAATTTTACTACGTATACTTAATTTGTGTACGTATACGTAATTTTATGTCAAATATATATACATATTTTATTTATTTTTTTAAATTTTAAATAGAGTGTGTAAATTTATTAATCTAAAATCCTTTCAAACTGAAAGTGTACATAGACTTCGGATTCCCGAGGTTAGTTTCCTTTCTTGTTTCACATAAATTACTTGAAACATGACACACACAAACGGGAAGTTAATTGTTTAATTAACGCTATCTTTTGTATATATCGACGAATCAGGCTTAAAGCAAACAAAACTTTGTTTATACATTTAAAAAAAGACCTTGATATTTAATTTTGCAGATGTATATGTCTGGTGCCTTTGCCTTATTGTTTAAAGAGTTGCCAGAATGCAGACCATTTCTGCAGCGAGTGCAATCGCTTTCTGGGAAAGGCTCACAACTAAACAAAATAAAAAATAATAAACATAACTAAAATCCCTATTATTCTAAAAGTCCACGAGCAACAGTTTGAATTACACAACACAGCGATAATCGCATAATTATCCATTGCACTCCCACGAAACAAGGAAAACAACACAGAAAAACCCCTCGGAAACTGAGCTAGGAAAATGCCATCACACTGATGTGGATATATACCGAGAACAGAACGAGGTCCGAACTGGAGGCCAAGTATACCTACCACATCAGTTTCGTGCCGAACTCCGAACGCACAGCACCTCGAGCGGAATTACCAAAACGGACCGGAATGGAGAAGAATATGCCATACAGCCAGGAGGAGCCTATCCCACAGGCGCCGCCATCCTATGACAACACCCAGCAGATATATCCACAGGTGCCAGTGATGGTGGCACCAGCCCTCACTGTTCCAGGTGAATATGGGAACTGCGTCTTTTCCAATTGTGATAACATCAAACTTTAAAAACGAAATAGAGTGAAGTGTGTGTTTTTTTTAATAATTATATTGAAATTGTGCGCAAAAGCGAGCATACAAATTAGGCATGTCACGCTTGGAGTGTAAATAAAATACATTTTTTTATGCTTCCGCTTCAACGACATTTAAATTTACTCACAGCAAACATTTTGTATTCAACAGAATATTAAATAATAATATTTGATAATTGACAAAGTAGTTGGATATTCAAGAAATAAGTAAAGAAAAAGGAATGAAAAGTTTGCATTGCTGCATTCAGAAATGTATCCTTTATTTCAATGACGCAGTATTAATTCCTTGATATTTGTTGTTTATTGCTTACTTATGATTAGCCAAAGAATTTTGCATCCTTTCTTATTAAAACCAAATTAATATTAACTTATTTCTGCCTTGCTCGAGCATTGATTGCTTACAATTAGTTAAATTACAGCTTGATAAAATTAGAGATATAAAGGAGTATTGGAGTTATAAATTAATTTCTCACATTGCTATTTTCCAGCCCCCCAGGCCAATGTATTGGGTGGAGTTCCCTGCATGGCCACCTGTCCCAGCTGCGGAGCTCGTCTTCAAACTAATGTCAGCTTTCAGCCCAGCACCAAGACCCATTTGCTGGCTCTGCTCATCTGCATGATTGGGTATGTATTTGATTGTGAATCCCAGAGAGCATAGAATTAACATATATGTAACCTTATATACTTAACCTTATCCTTATCCTGCCACAGAGGCATATGCTGCTGCTGCATTCCCTACTGCACCGACTCCTGTCAGTCGGCCAATCACACTTGCAGCGGCTGTGGAGCTTATGTGGGCACCTACAATAACTAAGCTTTTTAAAAAGGATTAAAAACAAAGGGGAATCCCACCAGTACTAGTGCATGGCACCAGGAAGATATATTCTTATTGCAGTCAAGAAAATATTTGATTTTACAAAAGAAATAAATAAAAAATGTTATATATGTATGTATAAATGTTATGTGCACCACACTCAAAATAAATAATAACCAACTTAAATTAAAAGAAATGGGTATTTCATATAGGGACCTGGGATAAAGGATAAAGCAATTTATCGATAATTATAAATTATTTTGCATATGGATGGTATCTTAAATTAATCCAAAGCTCTGCGAAATGCTATATACTTTTGATTTCATTGCTGAATATGAAAATATATATATTTATTTTATAATTGCGCATTAAATTCAGTCGTAAGCTCCTCAAAAAAGCGCCTGATAACGACGGCGAGAGCTTATCAGCTGGGTTTAAATGTTTCTTAGAATTTTGGAAGACAGACTTGAGCGGAAATACACAAGTAGCGCTTACGACTAGTATCGAAAAGATGTCTGCCAAAGCCAGTCGAGCGGATACGAGGCGATCTCCAGAGGTTTACAGGAACCTGAGTGAACCAGACCCAGAAACTCCAAGGACTAACCCAAAAACTGCTTCCTCGGAAGGATCTCTCATCTCTGATGACTTTAAATTCTCTTGGCATCAAAAAGTCTTGTTCAATTTGCGGTGGGTTTTGTGTTCTTTTTCAAAGTTTTTATATATTTTTATATGATGAATCAAAATTGCAGCTCTCTAAGTTGTTTTGGCAAACCTGTGGAGAACTAAACATATGAACTAGGAGATTTATTTATAATTTAAATCAAAATTGTGATTAAAAAAATAATATAGTTAATAGATAATGTTTTCAATTTGTGTATTGTATTTAATCTTAATTAATTAAAAATAAATTGAATTTGTAAGATTAAATATATGTAAATAAAGATTTGCAAACTTTTTTCTTAAACCCTTTTAAATCATTAATAATATACGCCTTTGTAAGTTTTATACCATAATTAAAAATTATTTAAAATACAATTTGCAATTGTCATTTTATTAAAAAATTATAAATTTAGCATGAAGAGTTGCTTTATTTTACTCACACTAAATATACATACATATGTACATGTGATTCCCCAGATTCAACAGAATTGCTAAGCAAATTGCATGTTTAGCACAATTGCAGATGTTCAAATACAACAGAAAACTAAATTTAATTACCCCGTTCTCCAGAGAATTCCAGATTATATTCTAACAATATTATTATTATGTATAAGGCTGCCTCTATTTGTAAACTATTACATTTTTGCATCTGCTCCACAATATATAAGTTTGATAAAGTCGACGATTAATAATTCATCATTGACTTTATCAAAGATGAGGAGCAGAAGTAATAATGTAAATTTACTAAAAATTTGTAATAGTTTACAAATAAATGTAAGCTTATATATACTAATAATATTAGAAAAATGGAATTTATATCTTAATTAATAATGTAATTTCCAGAAGGAGCTTTCTATAGGGAACGATATATAGTATAGAATATATTTTTCAAGAGCGATGCCCCGTAGCATCTGCATTCATTTCGCTCTCGACTGCGTTTATTGCAACATAAAGCTTTTATGATTCATACGTATGGCAAATTATATATAGTTTGAAGAAAAGAATTGATATCAGTGCGTAAACAGAGCTTGCAACAATAAGAAGTTTCAATGTTGGAGAACTGCAGCTGTCCCAACTGCAATGCGAGGTCCTTGATCCGCAAAAGATACTTGACTATATCTCGCATGAAGAAGCTTAAGATGGATTTAGCGTGAGTAATAAGACAATGCATAATTAATTTTTAATTTTACCTGCGATTCCTGTTAGAGCTATCTTCTTCTGTCGTTTGTATTGTCCTGTGGGCATGTACAAAATAGTGTTTAGATGTCCTTCCTGCGGCTGGAAGGGCGATCAGGAAGCATTGTACTGAAATTTGTCGTTCAGTAACATCAACAAATACAGACAACAATTACACTATCAGCTTTTAATCAGCTGTTGCATTTGTTTTTGTTTGTTGATTACTCAAAAGTTGTAAGTCAAAACAATGTTAAAATGAGAGCGAACTTTGGGCCTCTTAAGCTTTGAGCTTTACAGAGAGAAATAATTAGACTTGTAAAAGGAAATTTGTACATTTAAATACTATGTAAAATAAGTAATAATATATAAAGAATTTTGTAAAAAGAATAAGGGAAACCAGAATCAGACAATGTAATTAAATAAATATATACTTTAATATGGCAATATATATATAAATTAATAAATTACCAAACGTGTCATGCTATCTAAAAAATAAGTAAATAAAGATTTTCACTTAATAATATATTTCTGTAGTTTTTTACACTTTCCTTTTTTAGTTGGTAATTGAGTTGTTCAACCTGGTAAGTAGCTACGTAAACAGTATATACTATAGTTTTGTATTGTTGATTGTATAGATAAGCCGAAAAGCTGAATCTTGAATAGAGCTTTTGTTGCCAGCAACACACAGCAGCAGCAGCAGCAATGTTGCAACTACAATAGCAACAGCAAAAGCAGCAGCAATTTGTGACGAAAGTTCGAGGCCCGGCCTCAGTTTCGGTTAGTCATCGGTTTGCTAGAGAAGATGCAGTACAACCAACCGCCGGCGGGTCCGACGGGCTATCCCTATCAATCGCCACCACCGAGCTACGAGCAGGTGGTGCATGTCCAGGCGCCAGTTCGAGTGGTTCATGGCGGAGTACCACCTCCAGTGGTGATCATACAACGTGGGTTTGACATATACTATAATATACATATATATGTAAATAAACTAAAACAGGCTGAAATTGATTTAGTTCATTAAGCTGAAAATGTTCTTTAGACAAATATGAGCCAGGCTTCAAGACTATACATTTTCCTATTTAAGACAGTTACTTCCAGTTACTTCCCTGTCTAATAATTATTCCAATTTACAGACCAATCTGGACCACCCGTTGGACCCGATCCCAGCTTCGTCATGTGCCCGCACTGTCATGTCCAGAAGCTTACCCGCGTGGAGTACTCGCCCAGCGTGAAAACCCACTGCATGGCCGCCCTCATCTGCTTTGTGGGGTAAGATATGGAGAGTCTGGAGATCTTGGCATCTCCTATCAGTTCTTCACCTTATCTAATCGAGAGCGGAAATATCCCCCAAAAACAGCCTCTGGTGTTGCGTCTGTTTACCTTATTGCTGGCCCAGTTGCATGAATGCGAATCACTTTTGCGGCAACTGCAACAAGTTCGTGGGCGTCTACAGCAGCGATTAGCATGATTTCCACGGAGTAAACACAACCAAGCCAAAGACGAACACGAACCCGAACCTCATCGAACCCATCGAACCCATCACCACCTTCATACAAATACCAATCATCGGGAATGCGAACATTTTTGATCGGGTGTCGAACCAAATTCGCTCCGCAGCAGGTAAACAGTTGGTCTGCGGCGAGCTTTGGGCTTTACTTTGATAAGAACAATAACGCGATACGGGCGTTTACGGCATTCCCTTGAGTCATTTTCCAACGCTTCACACACCCAGAAACTACCACTGACAATATGGAGAAAGTGTATCCGGCTGCACCCTTGGAGGCGCCCAAGGGCTCTGGAGATGTCGAGGCCACCTCTGCCTCGCCGGAGCATCAGCACCTGCTGTCGCCACCTGCACCGCCGAGCTACGATCAGGCCACAGCCACACCGGCAGAAACCACCGGACCGGGAGAGGGATCTACTCCAGCAACCACCACCACCCACCACACAGTGGTGGTGGTGCCCAGTTCACCCTACGGCCCGGAACCCATGGATATCCAGTGTCCGTATTGCCACAACCATGTCCGGACCCGGATCTCCTACAAGCCCAACTCGCGCACCCATCTGATAGCCTTGCTTTTGTGCCTCTTCCAGTGAGTAACTCAACTATCGCATATTGTTTTCCAGAAGCACTGAAGAAAATAGTACGGAGGATTTGAGGGTTTTTTTAAATTAAATATTAAATGAAAATTAGGTTTTTAACTCCAATATTCAATTAAATGTAACCAATATATAAAGTTAATCTTTGGGAAGTAGAGTTTTCACCATTAACATCTTATGAATTAATGATTTTTGGGTTAGTTAATTTTTCTTAATACTAATAGGAGAGGAAACTAACTTCAGGGTAGCCAAAGTTCGTATACCCTTATAGTTAGATATTGCCTAAAATTTTTGTTTGCCAGACATGGCTAGATTAACTCGGCTGATCATGCTGATCAAAAATATATGTAAATGGTTTATAGAATCGGAAATGTTACGAACTTCTTGTTAAAATTATAATACCCTCTACAAGGCTAAAAAAATGACAGAAATTGCCTATTAATCTTTAAAATTATTAAATTAAATAGAAATTTTGTTCTTTACTTAAATTCCTACCAATGCCAGTGTAATTCCGTTGAACAAATTGTGTGTTTACTTTTGGACATAAGTTCGTTGGAAGTTCGATAATTAACGTGATTGATATAAATAAAGCCGATATGGCAAACAATAGAGGTATTTTTGTCATTTGATTACCGGCCTTGTTCTGTATTTCACAGAATTTTATTGGAATTGGAAATTTGAGTAGGAGATATGATTTATTATTTTATTTCTTACAATTTCAACATAAGATACTTCTACAATATGGAGTGTAGCACAAGAAGGGAGGCATACTGTTCAGAGAAAACATAATCGGTTAACAAAAACGTTTATTCTAAACACTACTATAAATACTACTATAAATATTCTTCAATATTATTATCTGTGCAGAACTATATAAAGTAACTAGATTTCTAATATTAGTATAAATTGAAGTAATAAGAAACTATTTATAGTTCTATAAAGTAAAGTTTAAACTCTAGAGCTATATAATTCCTTCATTTTCAATTTGAAAATTGTAATTAGGTATCTTTTAATTGCTGCTAAATTATTTATTATTTGTATTAATCCTTATCATTAAGCCCATGAGTGTTTTTCCTCGGTGTATTACCAATTTCCTCTATGACTAATCTCTACTTTATCATTCCGATTACAGGTTGTACTGCTGCGTGTGCCTTCCATACTGCATTTCCAGTTGCATGAACACGAATCACTACTGTGGCATGTGCGATCATTACCTGGGCACATACGATCGCAAGTGAGGAGGGTTTCGGCATCGTCTCGTCGCTCCATTCATGTTTACACATTTTCTTGTAATTAGTTAATAAATGGCCGGCAAACAAGCATATTGCACAGGCATCAGCTCCAGTGTTTCGTATTTAAGGAAGGATTAGGAAATGAAATATTGTTTTTAATGAATCATGAATTTAGTTTTGTTTGTCAAACAATACGAATGCTTTTAATGGATTCTTATCTGAAAAAAGGGGACTCACCTGAATTGACTTTTGGGACAATAAATAGTTGAACTTATTAACAAATCAAAAACTGCGTAATTTTATAACGCATTATAAATTTTTAATCAAATAAAGTAATAACGTCAAAATATTATATATACAATAAATTTACACATTGTAATTGTGTTCTGATAAAAATTGATAAAAATTTATAATTTTAGGGTGAAGAAAAACCACAAAGGAGGCGGCGAATAATTAAAATTTTCCATATTGCCTTAAAAGAGACTTAAATAACGGATTGTAATTTAGGTTTTTTAAAAGCTATAGTCAATTTTACTTACCTGTTTCTGATTTATTTGCACTTATCTGTTTATTATTTATGTATTACTAAAGTTGGCAAACTGTAAAAAACAAAAGCCTAAAGAAATAATATAATATTTTTATTGGCATGCTTGCAAAACGGTTGCAGAAATACACAGAATACAGTATGGAATATTAAATTAATACTTCAGATCTTTCAGATCTTATAAACTTGGCTATAACTCTTAAGGATTGACTTCTCCGCGAATGCCTCTGAGTTCGAGAACGCCAAAGTTGCAGAATAAGGTAAACATCAAGGGTTAGGGATATCAGAAGACCCAAAAGGATCAGGGTATTCCATGTGGTCCATTTCAGAGATGTGGGAATCTCTTGCGTAACTTGATGTGCTCCAGTATCGGAAATTGCAGCCTGCTCGATAGGATTTTTCAAAGGTTCATGCTCGCAATGAGGCTCCAGGGAATTCTGTTCTAAAACATGAACACCAGTCTCCTCAAAGTACCTTGTGATCTTGCAAAAACTGTCGTATCCGATAGGGTTATCATAGAGGGCTACCTCCTTGAGGCCTCGGTGGTGATTGCAAAAGCGATCCGCTCGAAAGTGACTGATTAGGTTGCCCTGCAGATACAGATACTGAAGATTTTCCACCACGCCAAAGGTATGCGCCTCTATGCCATGTATCCTGTTGTAGGACACGTCCAAGTGGGTGAGACCAGAGGACAGCAGTGGTGAGTCCTGGTGCAGATGCTCCAGTCGATTGTGGGACAGGTTCACAAACTTTAGATTAGGCAGAAGAAAGACCCCATCGGAATAGTGAGACCGGGAAACTGGCAACTCCGTGACGAGGTTTTGAGAAAAATCAAGGACTTGAAGTCTCCACATGCCCATAACCAGTTCGGAAATGTCATAGGTATCCAGACTATTGTCATGTAGATCCAGCTCCGTGACAGTGGCCTTCTTTTCCAGTCGTACATACTCCAGCTTATTGTGTGGTGCCTGCAATTTGCTAACTTCATCCAAAACCTCCAGTTTAGTTAGTTTGTTATTATTCAAGATTATTGTCTGGGCACTGAAGAGCTCCAAGGTCGTGTATCTGCCAGAACTACGCAAATCCAGGAGAACGAGATTCTTCAGAACGATAAAAGTTGAAAGCCACAGCACGAGAAAGGGATTACCCCTGAGTAGTAACACCTCCAGCTTTGGATTGCCAGAAAACATTGTTGTCGCCAGACCTATTAAATTATTTGCACTTAAGTCCAGATGTCGCAGCTCCGGCAGAGGACTAAACACACTTCCATTCAAAAGGTCCAATTGGTTTTGGTTTAAAGCTAGCATCCATAGTTGAGAGAGTCCTACGAAAGTGTCAAAGGAAATATCTCTTATGTAGTTATCCTGCAGCTCGAGTATCTTCAAATGAGGCAACTTGGCAAACTGCTTTCTTCTCAATTTATAAATGGTTCCGGCTCGCAACTGCAGAACACTGAGATTGGTAACCTCATCGAAATCTATCGCTGCAAGCTTATTTATCGTGCACTGCCTTAAAGCCAAGGTATGGAGGTCAGTTGGGAGCTCCTTCTCGGTCAGGTTACTGCATCTGTCTAAGTGGGTTTCCCTGCGATCGGTACCGGTTTTCTCAGTGTAATTCTCATCCATATTTGCTGATTTTATGCTTCCAGCAAAGACAGTTAGCACTAGCAGAAGATTTGGTAAGAAATCCATTTATATTGTATTTAAATTTGACCTTTTGCGGTTATTTTACTGATCTAACTAATCCGGAAGGCTTGAAAGTATCTCAGCTTTGCGCTGAAAGCTCTCTTAAATTCTCTTACAAGATTAATTGAGAAAAACACATCAATCTCAGTTGATGTCCAAGCGTTCTTGCAATAAAAGACAGCTGTTCTGGGTACTATATAGTATTAGTTTCATAGCATTAAGCTTTAAAAAGATCGGGTTAGATGAGGCGAAAAAGCTACGTTTTCTTTTCAAATTCAAAACTCTTTCCAAGCCTTTCTAATTTGGAGTTAAGGTGTCTCAGTTTATACATCCGCAAAAGGCTAACAAAACTTTAAGGAATCTACCAACCAGGGTAAGCTAAAACAAAAGTATATATTTTTATTTATTAAATAGATGAAAAGATGTAAACTTAAGCGTTATTTTTTCCCCCTTCCAATCAGATATTATTTTCAAGGTCTCTTGAAAAACATTGCAATTATTTACGCGCCACTTTACCTTATTTTTAGATACACATTTTTATATGTATCTCTAACTCTATCTGTAGCCAAACTTATATCGGACATCCTCTCCCCGTACGTGAGATAAGTTGGACAAACAACGATCTGCTTTGTGTGCCTAAAGATAAAGCTCTGAAAACAGACAATCCCAAAGATACTTTCAGTTTTGCAACGCCAAGTAATTGCTCAACCTGCGAAGAGCTTTTCCCAAGCTCGCTCCGATCGCCGAGTTTGAAAAACTTGTTGAATCCGAATCCGAATCTGGGTCTGAATCCGAATCCATTGGCAGTTGCGAGCGGCGAGCGAAGTGCAAAAGACGCCGAACCGAGTTTTAAATACGCAAAGTAAACAAAACCGGAATCTCTTACTCATTACAAACAGAAGTTCGAACACAAAAAAAACCCAAAAAAAAACCTGAACCTTGCACTCGACGAGGGTTTCTTGGAGTAGTTTTATTTAAAGTTTGGAGTCTGTTCCACCCGAGCAAGATGGACCAGAAGCGAGCCATGTTGTATCCCCAGGTGGATTTCAACTCCCCGAGTGCCCCATCGCCAACGCCGCCACCAACTCGGGAGTTACTCCATCCCATGGGCCTGCCCGTGGAGGCTCCTCCGTCCTACGATGTGGCAGTGGCCGCTCCAGCTCCGGTGGTGCCCGCCGTTCCAATGGTTGCCCCACCAGCGCAGCCAGTTATTGTGGTGGAGCCGACAGGCCCACCACAGCTGCCGCCTACAGTGGTGCAGACACCAGGTGTGTGTGTGTGTGTGTGTGTGTGTGTGTGCAATTACTATCAAAATAATGAACTTACGTCATTCTGAGTAATTGCAGATGCCCTGAATCTGGGTCCAAATAGAAGCAGAGTTCTGTGCCCCGCCTGTGGAGCCCAGAAAACCACCAGAATGACCTTTACTGCCAACAATAGGACGCACATGGGAGCAGGGCTGCTCTGTCTAGTCGGGTGAGTAATAATGGAAGATAACCCTACGAAATATACATTTATAGAGTCTACTGGAATAATCATCAATTAGCATTATTATCAATAGAGTTCAGAATTAGTCATAAATTAAATAGATTAATAGTTGAGATTAATCTATAATGATGATTTTTAATTCTTTAGATGGGAGAAGTCTTTTGTTTTTTAAAAGCTTATGGTTTAATTATTTGGTAAATTTATTTGTAATTCTTAATGAGGGAATTAATAGGAAAATAAATGCATAGCAGATACTAGATACTAGGGCTGATCCCTCCTTTAGCTTCTGTATAAATAATATAATTGTCATGGTTAAGACTTACCGCAGTAGAGGAAACACTCTTATTCTGCTTCGTCATTGTTTGTTGACTCCAATTAGGCTTGTCATGGTTTCAGCAACGTCATCTTCTTCCTGGTTATCCAAATGTATTGCATTGGTCAGGTCACTTGCACTGTCACTATCACCACCGATGTAAACACCAGGTACCCCCTGCACCGACTGATGCGAGCGCGCCTTCGGTGCCTGTATTTATAGTCCCCGAGCAAAGAGAATAGCAGAGAACTGAGAGCGAGAGCGAGCGGCAGCGTTAGAGTTAGAGGCAGAGAATTAGAGAGAGGGAGAGGCCGATTGAGGCAGCGCCAGCCAGTGTTGCCAGGTTAGCTTATTATAAGCTAGTTCTAGCATATTTGAAACTAGAAAAGCTTGAAAAATTTCCATCTAGCTTATAGCTTGAAATATAGCTTATTTTAAAATCATCTAGCATATTTTAGCTTTTTATGTATTTTTGACATCCACGGAATGTTTTTTACGAAAAATATGCTTTATAGATGAAAATATTGGAGTTTGTTCTTTTTTTCCGATGGTTATGTGAATTTTATGTGATCGTGAACTTATTTCTAATCGAAAGTGTCATCGGAGATCGATTTGTTGGCTGAAGTGTTACCACCAATAATTTTGTTGTGTTGTGAAAATAGGTAAAGCGTGTTCTCAAAATGCCGAAAGTTATATATAAACAGATTTTTCGGGATGCTTGGCTCCAAAACAACGAATTTAAGTGCCAGGAGAAGGAACCAAAGCATATTGTTGCTACTGTAAGTCGACAATATCAGCCAAAATTTTTGAAATCAGGCAGCATGCGGCATCGAAAAAGCACATTTTATCAATGAGATCAGTTGCTGAATCGCAAAAATAAATTTTCCGGCTAAGTGTTGCAAGACTCAGGATCAGGAAGCAGCGCTTTGTTTGTTCATTGCCGAACACTCGGCGACGAACAACATGAAGGAATTGATGAAATATTAACTAATTTGTTTTAAGTGCTTACTTTAAAAACATCTTTTTAGGACTTTCTTTAATAATAACATATTCATATAATATAATAATATATATTATATGTTTCGTGTTTTCTCATATTTGGGTGTAGCTTGTTTTTTCGCATGTTTTAAAAATTGTTTAGCTTATTCTAGCTTATTTTTTTTTTAAATCTAGCTTATATGGGCGCTCATCACCTGGCAACACTGGCGCCAGCGCCTGTGTTTATAGTCCCCGAGCAAAGAGAATAGCAGAGCGAGAGAGAGCGTCAGAGATTCAGTGTTAGAGGCAGAGAATTAGAGAGAAAGAGCAAGCTATTCAGGCAAATGGATGGACAGAGGGACGTGGCTGTTGATGCTGATCATAAATGCTGGTCGGAAAAAACTTCTCAATGCGTTGCAAAATTATAATTATAATACCCTCTAAATAATAAAACTAATTACTACAAATAATTTTAAATATTATTATTATATTATATATATTATTATTATTATTTTTAAAATCGTAGAACCATTTTATAAACCCTTGAAATTTTTCGCATGACTCACCTCACATAAAATTTAATATTTATTTGGCATCTAAATATTTTATTAATTCTACAAATAATATTTAATATTTTCAGCTGGTGCTGCTGTGCTTGTTTCGTACCCTATTGCATGAATAGTTGCCGCACTGCCAACCATTATTGTCGGAAATGCAACACTTTCCTGGGTTCCTACACGCCAAAGGGAAGATGATGAGAACAAGACTAAGATAAGATGTGATCTGGTGGTTAGATAAAATATTAAGACACAAAGGAAAAAACTTATTTACACACGCAAATCAGCTGATGCTTGTCACCGCGTAAATTAAGATTGTACAGTAGCAATTGGCTTAAAAAAATACAAAGCAAAGAAGAGAAACTAAAGCTTAACAATTATCTTTAGGTATCAAACAAAGTCTATTCATTTCCTTAGTTTCTCTTAATAAATAATCACTATAATAAACATAAACAAAGGCATCTGCTTACCTTCGTGTATGGCCTTTAGCTTCCCAATAAAAATAAATGCGTGGGTGAAGTCAACGCTTCCAAAAAAAAAAAAAAAACAGCAACTAAAGTCAAAGAGAAACTTGATTGATTTCAAATAAGGTTTTTCGCGCCTATGTAGAGCTGCCACATCAATTAAATCTTGATGCTTACCAACACTATTCGAGGCCAACTATCGATATATCGATAGCCGGTTATTAAATACTCACGCGATATGGCAATACTGCTGCAGCCAAAAAGACAATTGCAGAAAGTTTTTTTCACAACAAAAAGCCACCGAAAACGCTGAAATTAGGCAACCAAATGTTTGCGAAAAGCGCTACAAACCTCCACTGAGCCACCGTCGAGCGTGCGTCCGTGTGTGCGTGTGTCTGTGTGGGCGTGGGAGCAACACAGCAGCACAACAACAGAAGGAGCAGCAGAGCCCAGGCAGCGCAGCAGGCAGAGTGGCACCAGCGGCGGCAGGGGAAAACACGTAAAGGAAAAACTCTCTTTCGGCATACAGCTGCAAAACCGCGAGCCCCGCCGAACGGAAAGCGCCTGCCCTCCCCCTAACGAATTATGGACAAGAAATCCTCGCCGGTGCGAAGACAAAAGCGGCAGGCGAAGGTGATCGAGGAGAACTTGTGGGACTGCAGCGTTTGCACCTACAGAAACTCGGCGGAGGCCTTCAAGTGTCGCATGTGCGACGTGCGGAAAGGTGAGTGACCTCGATTCACCCGCAGTCCCCGTCGTTCCGGTTTTCCTTATCGCCAATCTATCTCTGTGTGTGGCAAATTCCATTGATTTCGTTACGGATTTTAAGTGTTTGCAAGAATTTGATGGGTAAAAGATGACTCGAATGAGTTAGATTTAAAGGGAATTCATTTAAAAACACTAGATAGAAGTGCGTTTGAATCATAAACTTTATCTAATTGTCATAAAATTGAAGCCTGGAACCTTCCTGATTTATGTTCTATTAAAAAGAAACCCCAATCTAACTTGTATCCTTGTTTCCCAGGCACCTCCACACGCAAGCCGCGCCTGAACTCAGCGCTAGTCGCCCAGCAGGCCGCCACATTGCCGGGAGCCAGTGGCAATATGCCCAATGGGAAGTCCGCCTCGGGATCGCGACATGGCAGCGGGCATGACAGGCAGCGACATAAACGTTATCCGGCCCGTTTGAAGAACGTGGATCGATCGACGGCGCAAACACGCGAGGTGACGGTCAATTCGGTGACCGTGTTCATCACAGAGTACAAGGCCAAGCCAGTGAGCAGCCGGCGGGAGTCCAGCGAACAGAGCTTCAGCGAGAGCAACGATAGCCGGAGCTAGAGGGGGGAACATCCTTGGCCTCGGCCCCCAGCCGCAGGCAGAGCTCTGTGGATCCGAGTCCTGCTGCTCTACGGTCCCCGGTTCCGGTTTCGGTCTCGGTTCCCTGTTACAAATTGTAAATTCTAAGTGTTAGGCCCCCGGCGCAAAACGGAAACAATTGTAAATCGAAATCCATTTAAGTTATCAAGTATTAGGCCACGTTCAAAGCAGCAGCAGCAGTAGCAGCATGCGCCAAGCCACGCCCCTCAAAAACGTTCATGACTTCCAGCCAAGGCCAAGAATCAAAGCGAAGCGAAGCGACGAGTCGATTGCATTTACACGACGCTCTCCAGAATCCAATCTTTGAAATGCGCTAGAAACCCTGTACATACCGATGCAAAATGAGTTCCCCTCCCTGAATATCTCTGTCTCTTATGGTAATTTTAGTTGTAATTGTAATCCAGCTACTATAATTCTAATTGTAATTCTAAATCCTAATTTATTGATGAGAAAGGCAACTCTATATATAACCGCCGTGTACATGTCCAACAAAGATATCATTTGTTTCGTAAGTGTCGAATTAAAATATGGTTTACCTAAGTGCAAGCTAATCTCAATGTTCCCACTAGCAGCGACACCCAACTCCGAATGGTTTGTGTAACTTATAGTTTATAATCTATATATATTTTTTTTGTTCGCTACTACCTACTAGACAATGCTGCTTGACAACGAAGAATGAAGTGAATGAAAGAATGAGAGTACGAGGTGAAGAGAGCCTTGCTTGGTTGTAGACAATTTGCTAATTTTAATTTGTTTATACACAAGACTGATTAAGCGTTACCAAGCCCGAGTCCGACTTTCATTTGGTTTTCACACGAGGAGTTGATCCAAGCTAAACAAAAGCAAAAAATAACAAGTAAAAAAACAATAGACGAATACTCGAACTCGCAGAAAGTGAATTTTGTACTTAGCAGAGCTTAAAGGCTCTTCCACCATAGAAATAATTACTTAGCAAACAAAACAAACAGATTTTTGATATGAACGATTGTATTTAATATTGGATAAATGATATAATGGTTTATAATGTGCTTGATATTTGTATTTTGAGATAGATTATTTAGCCACACACACACACACACACACCTACACGAGGTCACCTAATACACACAATACTCGAAACTGCCGACTGTAGTCAATGAAATAACTTCCAATAGACACACCAAACTTCAGAGTGGATTATTAACATTAAACATTAACAATTAATATCAACAGTTTGCATTAATCAGCAGCAACAAAAACGGAAAACTTAAGCTAACGCAATTAAAGCAGCAACCCCCCAAACCACAGATAGTTAAAACTTGAATTCAAATTGTAAAGCATCAACTTTTAAAGCATTATAAAATACATTAAATAAATTTCGAAAATGCTATTCCAAATCGTTGTCTTCCCTCTCTGCCAGAGTTGAGTTTAATTCTTTTTATTTGCGCTTATCCAACTTGCTAAACTTTCTGCTGGCTGCCAACTTTTATTTTTGATTCTTTTTATGGCTGACATTCGGCTTAAAGTTTAAAGGTCTTTAAAGAGCAAGGGAGCAAGCAAGGCGAGCCACCCTCGCTGGGGTGCCAGCACATCCTTCCACCCACCAGGACCACCCACGCATTTCCCTTTCCCCCCTCTGTCTCTACGAATATATGTATATTGTATGTGTGTGCGAGTTCTGCTTGGATGGGGGGCGACATCATCTGTATCTGTAGCTGAGTATCTGCTTACGCGTGCTCCCAGCCTCGTATTTTTCGGGCCTCAGATCACACCAGGAGAAGAACGGAGCCACTGTCTCTGGTCGATGGCTACGCCTTTGGCAGCTGCCTCAACTTTTCGCACACAGACGGAGCCGGAGACGGAGCACATCGCACGCTTCGCAAATAAATTACAAATTGTTTCGTTCCAGCTATGCGCTGCCACAGTCCAACTCCTTTACAATCAACCCCCGGTTGTTGCAACGCAATATGTTCAAAAATACGCAGTTCTTTCCATATAACTTGTGCAAATAGTTTACATTTCAAACGATTGCAGTTTGACTTTGGGCTTAAATAGTCATAAAGTGAGTTTAAAGCTTATGTAAATTAGTAAAAGATTATAGAAAAAATTCAGTACTTCAATTTGTTGTGAACAACATTGTTAGGAGTTAATTAGGTCTAACTTATAAACATTATTAGACTTTATGGTATTATAATTTTAGTCAGAAGCTTGAGAGGCAGTGAAGGAGTCATTTCCGATTCATTTCTTGATCAGCGTCAACAGCCGAGTCGATCTAGCTATGTCCGGCAAAGAGAACAAATTTATAAATTTTTTTCATAACTTTTGGCAAACATTTTAATTTTTTTACATTTTAAATTGAGTATGAGTATTAAAAACTAGCATAAAAACGCTTTCCGAATTGAAATAAACGCAATTTTGGCTTAGTTACGATTGATTTCCAATTCGATTCCATGATCTGGGAACTCGGGTATACGAAATTTATTTATATTTATACCTATTTAACTTTGTGGTTAAAAAAACATTAGAAAAAAGGTTTTCGTTCGAAACAAATTTTTAAAAACTAAAATGAGGGAACTAAATTAAGGGTCCAAAGGTTAGTTTTCATAATAAGTATGACCGGGTGCCGACAAAAAAGAATAATAACCTTGATGATTCTAGAAAATATTCAAGAAAATAGTTACATTAACATAAGAACTCCATAAAAACTCAATCTTCTTGAGGTTAATTCCTTAAATTCAAGCTCCACTGTCCTTACACACAGACACAAAGCAAATTTCTTCCCCCGCGAAAAGCTCACACAATTCGTTTCAGACTTCTAGCCCCGACGTTCGGAATATCTCCCGTTCGTATTTCTCTAAAATGTTAAAATTCGCAGGACCTCCCACCCGAGCTGCGCCCCTGCCTTCCATCCATTTTGCCCCACAGGCAGCAGCATCAGCAGCAGCAGGACCTGCGTTATCAGCGCCACACTCTGTGCTCTTATCTTCCATGTGCGCTTCGTTCTCGTGGCTCCTGCTCCTGCTCCGGCTCCGGCTCCAGCTCGGGCAGCTCCTCGTCCTTTTTGCCATTCGTCCTTCGTGGCCCACCCCGCCTTCTTATCCGTTTGTTTGTCCGTGCTTCCGCCTCATCTGTGCGACCGTCCGCACATCCTGTGCCACCCATCGCCCTTCCTACCCATCCTTGGTCCTTGTGTGTAGTTGGAAATTCTCGTTTTGCTTGGGCTAAATACAAAAAAAGAGAGAAGAAAAATAAAATAAAGAAAGAAAGAAAGGACGAAAGGCGTTGCAGTATTTGGAAAATGTTGAAACTCCTTGCGGCTACCGGGCATTGCATTTGCTTTCACATGACGCATACGCCGCGTTGTCCGGCCTCGAGGATCGCCTGGCCAAGAAGGAAGCGCTGAGCTGGATTAGAGGTGTGTGTGTGTGTGTGGGTAGATGGCACTGGTAATCCCCGCAAGTAACTTGAGCACTTTATGGCACAGCCCGCACGTGTATGCCAATCGCAACGCGGATGCGAGTGTGAGTTTATCTAACACCAAAACATGGAGCGGGGCAAATCCCTGCTTAAAGCTGCGATATCTCTCAGGTTTTAAACACTCTTCAGGCCTTTGCCATTTTAATTACATTAAAAAGTTTTTGCTGGCATTAAATAAATTGGAGCCCTAGATGAAGATGAACACGAGAATAAGGCGAAGGCGAAGTCGAAGAACGGCCAACTTATGTCACTTTGATCCTTGCGAGTTAGAGTTACTTTTGGGCCAACTCATGCGCGAGACAATGGGAGGACAACTACCCTTGGTGTGTACAAAGAGTAGTATCCTGCCATCCTGCCAGCCGGTCTCATCCCCCGTGGTAATCAAGTTCAGTCTTTAAAATTGAAATTCCAGCATTAGGCAAGGAATGTGGACCAATGTAAAACACACACAATCTATCCTGGCAAAGGGTTGGAAATTAGAGGAAACTGGGAGGAAGAAGGGTGACGACCAAGTGGGCGGGGCTGGGGGCGCTTATCTGTTTCAAATGTGCCACAGCACGTCGAATTTTATGCACCAAGAAATTATTATTCATCACCCATTAGCGTCTGTGCAAATAAATCATTGGAAATTCGAATTAAACTGCTGGATATATTCAAATTAAATTGAAAGGACTTTAAGATATTATTTTGGGTAGGTTATAAAACAAGTTATTAACTCTAAAAAGAATAAATTATGTGTATTATAATTACATATATATTAGATTCTATTAAAAAATCATATCCTTTCACATAAAGCATTTTGAGTTCGTTTACAAATTCTTGTATTTCAATACAGAAAACACCTTCGTTGAATATACGTTAAACTTGGCTTAAAACTCCTCTTTACTAGGCCTTACAAAATATTTTTCTTAATGTTTCCAGACACTATATAAAATAAACTTTTTTAATAAACAAACATTACAATAAAATTCCTAACCCAAACCTGCCCCATTTAAGGTCTAACTCCACATATTCTCTTCTTTAATTAAAGTTGAAAATTAAAGTTTCTTTTTCAAGGAATGTACAAACAATCGCAGTGTCACTGCCGCCACTGCCACCCCCTTGGGTCTCTGCCCCTCGCCTTGGACGTCCCTGCCCCCGTTTGGGCCGTCAGCTTCATTGTGTTTATTTCTCATGTTAAAATCAAATTCCCGCGTGTGCAATTTTTCATTTGGCCCAAGAGCCGGGAGTCCCGAGCCCAAGCCCAAGCCCAAGCCCAAGCCCAGCGGAGAAATGAAAAGGAAGTGGAAAAATGTGTAAAGGTGCGTGTGCCGGGGAAAAAGTAGGAAAAGCCAAAGCTTAGGGAAAAGGACGATGGCGGGGGAGGGCGTAAGTTAGCGGCATGCTTGAGGGTGGCGCTGTTTTTTAAGGGGGTGCGATTGCTCCACTGCTGCTGGTTCTTCCGGCGTGCTGTCTGACGTCAGGTGGATTCGAAGTCAGCTTAAAGAACCGAACTTTTTGCCTACGAAAAGTTTTGTGCCGCCGCCAGCTTCAATTCTTTCGTTTTTCAGTTTCATTTTTAGCCATCCCGAGAGCTGCATTTCGGGGTAACATTTTCGATACCTGTCGGCATGTGTCGAGTACCAAGAGGCATTCAACACATCCCGCCCTCCCATGGCATCCCTCCATGCTGGGCTCTCGCCTCTCGGTTCCTCCTCCTTGGCGCCCGCATAACTTGCGCTCTAAACAAAACAAAAATGCGTTGGCAAAAGCGTAGGACCCGGGGACAGACCAAGAGAGACAGCTCCATGGCTCCTCGGCAGGATGGGGCAGGCGGTGGCAATGGAGCAGGACTAAAGGTGGCAGAGGCAGAGGCAGAGGCAAAGGCAGCTGGCTGACTACGATGGCGATGGTGATGGCGACACTGGCAACAGCAAAGGCAACGTTAGTAAAGATTACACTATGTCCAAGGGAAGGTACATCTAAATTGTCAGTAAAGAAGAAAGTAGAACAAAAAATACAAGCGAGTATGAGAAAATACATTTTTAAAGATTAAATAGATTTGGATTAATAAATTATAATAATAAACAAAGAATCTACAAATCTATGAACAAAT